CACCTTCCTGTCGAAGTTCTTGAATAAATCGAGCAGTTTGTGGATCTAGAGATTCCATCTAATTTTTAAAACAAAAAATTTAAATTTAAAAAAAAGAGAAAATTTTAAAGAAAATAAAAGGGAAAAACATTTTTAAAAATTAATCAAAAAAAATTTTTTATTTAAAAAACTTTAATAACCAAGGAAAAACAAAATTTTCTCTTTTCAATAATCACTTGTAAACCTCATTCTTTTTTAAATAATTAATTCAAAAAATAGTCAAATCCAAAATATCTTGCTCCATAAACAACTAAAAATTAAATAAAATTAATTTTGTATTTTTAAAAATAAAAACTTACAAATTTCCACAATAACCCCAAAACTTAAAAATTTTGTAAAATCTTCCAAAGCCATCTTTCTTGCTTGAACAGAAACTCTTCCATCTGACATTGTCGGGGGCATTCCAGGCTCAAAAAACATTTTTAAATTTGTTAATTAAACTAAAAACTTGGAAAAATAAATAAATAATTTAATCTTAATTTTGTTTATCTAAATTTACAAAAATCTTTTTAAGAAAAAAATATGAAAAGTTGAATTGATAATATGAAATTTCTCTAAGTAAAACAATCATTTCAACAAAAAGACATTTTGCCACAAAGTACAAAATTGTTCATTTTGTCACATATTTTAATGGAAATTTACTAAAGATTTTTATTTTTAATTTTTTTACAAAATATTCTTCAATTTTTAATTTAATTATGGGTAATCAACAAAGCAGCACACAATTAAGATCACAAAAACATGAAGAATCAACAACAAATACAGAAATTTCAAATTCTTTTAAATTAATTTCTGATAATGGAGAAGTTATTAATTTAAATCAATTTAAAGTATTTTTTAATTTAAAAAATTATTTTAAAAATATTTTTTTAGGAAAAATTTGGTGAAAGACTTGGTTCTTCTCTTTGGAATTTTTTTCAACAAAATTCTGACATAATGGATAAACAAAAATTTGAGAATATTGCAAATAAATTGAATAAAATTAGCTCTTTTGGACTTGTTAAAATTTTAATTTCTCCAAAAAATTTGGTTTTTTTAATTAATATTTTTAAAAAATTTAAATTTTAGTTTGAAGTTTGTGTTGAATTAGCAAATATAAAAATAAACAAAAATGATGAATTTTTTGTAAATTCTTTTTGTGAACAAATGGTTGGGAATAAATAAATTGAATAAATTGTTTTAAAAATTATTTTTAGACCTCAAAAGGTGATGATATAAATTCAACTAATTTGTGGATAGAAGAAAATTGTCCGAGACTTGTTGAGCCCGTTTTTGACAAAATTAATAAAATTTTCTTTGGAAAACAAAATGTTTGTGGGGGTTATTTTTAAAGAAAAATAATTTTTGTTTTTTTTCTAGATAATTTTAAATAATTTACAATCAGAAATTCTGTCTCCAATTCAATTTTTTGTTTTACGACAAAGTTTACCAACAACTATTTTTTGGCCTAAACCTATATCAATTGATTCTCGGGAGGATTGGAATTTGCTATATTCTAGTACAAAAAATGGACTTTCTGTTAACAGGTTAGTTTTTAAAAGAATTTTCTTATTTTTTAGGGTATTTTATTCTAAAGTCGAATTTAAGTTTTGTTTAAATCTTTAAAAATTCGTTTATATATTAGTCACTCGACTAAAAATAATTTATGTAAGAAAAAAGATTCTCTCACAGAAAGTAACGTTTTTTTATTTATGTTTGTCTTAAATTTTCCACTACTTTAAAAAAAACATTAATTCTTATAACCTTAAATTCATTTATTTTTAGGTTTGAAGCAAATGTTTTTGACTATCGAGGACCGACTGTAGCTATTTTTAACTTGACTAGTAACCAACTTTATGCAATTGCTGCAGATGAAGAATGGAGGTTTTTTTAAATTTTTATTTATTAAAAAATATTTTTTTAGACACAGCTGCAAATCTTTTGGGGGCCCTCAATGTGTACTTTTTAAGTTTTCTCCAGAATTTAAAAGGATTGATTTACCTTCCCCTGCCTTATATTGCAAGTTTTTTTAAATTTGTTTTATTTAAATTGTTTGATTTTTTTGGTGTTTTTGGAATAGGAAATTAAAATTTTTTTATTTTTGTTTTGAATATTTTTGTATAATTTAGTGGGGTGGCTTTACTAAAAATCTAGGTAAGATTTAACTTCGTACACGCTCCCTCTTTTTTTGCCCCACAAAATTTAGAAATTATTTTTTAGGTAATTTCAAACACCGAACATCCAAACTCGGTCTATATTTTGGCAATTTTTCTCAATTTTCAATTAACGGGGATTTTAATAATGTCCAACAAATTGAGGTTTGGGGGTGTGCCGGAATTGAAGCTTTATCTGACCAAAACAAAACAAAATGTCGACAAAAAATGCAAACAGAGAGAAATGCTAAAGTTCCTTTGCCCGGAAATTGGGAAGATAATGCTGACAAAGCTATTTTGGAAATGGGTATATTTAATTATTAAATATTTGATAAACTTTTTTGTAAGATACGCTTTTTGGGCTAAAAATTTAATATTGAGTGTGGGAGGTAATTTTAAACATCGAATAACGGCATTAAATTCTTTTTCCAATATCTTTTATTTAAACGAGGCTTTAGGTAGCTCACAACAAATGGTCAACTATTAAATTAAAAAGTTTCAAATTAGGGTGTGTGTGTGTATTTGTGTTAAATTAAATATAGATAGATCTCTTTAGAGTAGCTATTTTTACCGAAAATTGAGATGTCTATAAACTCTGATAACTAGCATTTTTACACTTAACTTCTTTGAAACCTTAAAATATTATTTATATTTTTAAAGGAGGTATTAAATTCTCTAATGAACATAGAGACTATAAAATTCAATAAAGAATCAAATTGATTTGCCAGAATTTAATATTTATTTTTTCTGTGATAAAAAGACTAACACAAATTTGTATATATTTTTAAAAAATATTTTTCTCAATTTTATATTTAAATAAAATTTTATTTTTTAAAAAATTTTATTTTTTTTTAAATTAACACCTCTCTTTTATTGACTTTTAAATGTAAAATGAGTAGAGGATTGAACAAAAATAAATATATTTTTGATAAATAGAAAAGAAGCTTTTTTTGTTAATTTTAAGTGGCTTTTTTTAAAAGAAAGGTGCGCGAAAGTTTTTTTTGTTTTGCCTCATTCATTTTAAAAAATTTAAAGAAAAGAAAGTGAATATAGATAAATATGTTTCTTTTTTTCTCCTTTTTTCATTTATCGCTTTAACTGCGTTTGTTTGTTAGCTGCTGTTTTGGTTTAGCTTACAAAAGAAAAGTCCTTTGAATTTTCGGTACTTTATGGATATGTCACCCCCCCCCCTCCTATTTTGAGTCTCAGAGTTTTCCTTAAACGTAGAAAATGGTCAGAGATTATTTTCTTCTCCATGTCAATCATTTTTCTTTCTTCAAGCAAATGTGGTAAATGTATAAACGAAATGAGTGAAATGTAAGTACAAAATATGTGTTTTTTATATTTTATATCCCCAACAGCTCCAAAAAATTGGCTTCGTGTTCAAATCTGCAAAAGCAATCCGAAAGTCTGCAAAAGCAATCCGAAAACTTTATGGATATGTCACCCCCCCCTCCTATTTTGAGTCTCAGAGTTTTCCTTAAACGTAGAAAATGGTCAGAGATTATTTTCTTCTCCATGTCAATCATTTTTCTTTCTTCAAGCAAATGTGGTAAATGTATAAACGAAATGAGTGAAATGTAAGTACAAAATATGTGAAAAGGCAAAATAAACAAGTAAAATACTTGAAGAAGAAAAAAATGATTGACATGGAGAAGAAAATAATCTCTGACCATTTTCTACGTTTAAGGAAAACTCTGAGACTCAAAATAGGAGGGGGGTGACATATCCATAAAGTACCGAATTTTCTCTTATTTTTCCTTTATTTTTGTCTAATAATTTTTCCTATTTGACATTAGCGACTTTTTTTGTTAGAAAATAAGGGTAGAAAGGGATAATTCGAAGAATAATAACTGGCAGGAAATTTTGGAATAAGTAAAGGAGTGGAAATTGTTTTTGAGGGAGTGAATTTTTGCCTGAAAATTTTAAATGTTTAATTTTCTTTTTTTAAAACAATACTCGACCAATTTCGAATAAATTTCCTTATTCTTTATATCCAAATTTGTATAAAAATTTTGAATTGTTTATATGTTCTCCCTTATTTCCTTTTTAAGGATTTTTGTCTTCTTTTTTTCGAATTGTCTTTTCTGTGAGTTGCCCTAACACATGAAACAGTGGCAGCTGCAAAAGCTTTTCCCCCCATTACTTTTCCTTTATTATATCGAGCAAATATGGTCAGTGTTATTTCTCCCTTTCTCGACTTCAAAAAAGGGGAAAGCAAAAGCAAAAATATCCTTCTTCTCTTAAATGGCGGGGGAGGGCGAAAATAAGGCAAAAATGTTTTTTTTATTATTATTTCTTTCCCTTTTAAGACTTTTCCTCCCTTTTTTTGCCATGCCAAAACCATTTTTTCTGCTAAATATTTACTTAAATTTCCCACGGAATTTCTCACTAATTTTGTGTAAATTATACACAAATATATAAATGCCTTTTTAAAAAAATAAAAATTGTTTAAAATAAAATATAGTATTTAATAAGAAAATCTGTGAGAAAATTGTGAGATAATTAAATTAATTTAAAAACTTTTTCACAAATTATTTAAAAAAATTTTGACAGCCTCGAAATGTTTAAATAAATAAATAAAATTAAATTAAAAATTAGCTACATAAAATATGTATTTATTTAATTTATGGGCAATCGGAATTCCATTCGTCATCAGGGATTGTTATGTCCATCAGAAACCGATTTAACAGGTTCTCCTTTTGTTTAATTTCCCCCTTAAACCTTTTAATAATTATTTATTAAATTAAAATTTTCTTTTTTTAGACTTCCAAATTTCCAAATTAATTGGCATTGGAACTTTTGGAAAGGTTAGAAATTGAACCTCACTTATAGCATTAAAGTTGACAGATAGATGGAAATCCTTTCAAAATTTTTATTTTCAAATCCTACGGAAGAATATAGAGAGATTAGGAACAATTATGAAAGAATCGAGGGAATCTAGGTTAATTAATGTGAAGAAACTTTTGTAGTTTACCTGGTGATTTGTGAGAATTCAGTGGTTTTGGGGGAGTGGGGAAATGAGGGGACCTTCTACCTTTTATCAGTGAGATCCAACTGTATATTAATTAAATACCTAATTTATTTTAACCTTTCTTTAAAAAAAGGTTTATGTTGTTTATCACAAAGGATTAAAAAAAGAATATGCTCTAAAAATAATGCAAAAACGGAGAATTTGTAAATATAAATTTGTTGAAAATATTCTCAAGTATTTTTAAATTATTTTAAAAAAAAATTTTAAATAATTTTAAGTGAACTAAATTTACTTCAAGGATTAACTCATCCTTTTATTTGTTCACTTTGGTATGCATTTCAGGTAAAAAGTTAATTTTCCCCTTCCAAATGACGGGGATTCTCTAAAGACAAATTCTCTGCTTAGAAGCACGTAGAGTTGTCCAAGACCGAAAATTTTCCAAATTCTAGACCAAAGCTGGACCCCCAAGACCAAGGATTTTGGACATCTAAAGAATCATGTATACATAGAGTAATATTGTTTTTAAGAAAAATAACTACTACAGAAAATCTTTGTTTTTCGGAATTAATATAAGATTTTTAGAATCATTTTAAACTAAATATTTTGACAGGATTCCGACCAAATTTATATGATTAGTGATTTACTGCCTGGAGGGGATTTGGCTTATCATTTAAAAAATCAGGGCCGTTTCTCCGAATCTAGAGCTAAATTGTTTGTTTTTTTAAATTAAATTTTGAAAAAATTTAAATTAAAGATTATTTTGTGAATTGGCATTAGCACTTGATTATTTACATAGACAAAGGTTAATATATTTATTTTATTAAAAGAAGGGATTTTAAAATGCAAAATTTGATTGGCCATTGGATTGGGGAGAAGTTTAAACGATGCTCTTATTTAAATTAACCTTATTTTTAAACCCCGGGGGAACTTCGAAGTTAATCTGTATTTCAATAAAAGTTTTTTCTCTCATACAGTATTTGTGTATGTACCAGAGTCTATAGGACCTTAAACTTTTAAAAATATTCTTAGGGTTGTGAAGCAATAAAAAATATTTTTTAGAATTGGCCATTTTGATGTAAAGCCAGCAAATATTTTATTAGACGAGAAAGGACATTCACATTTAAGTGATTTTAGGTTTAAAACAAATTTTTAATTTTAAATATTTTTTTCTGAATTTTTAGTTTAGCCAAAAAACTTTCAAAAGGAGAATTAGCCAATACACTTTCTGGTTAATTAATTAATCTTTAAATTAATTAAAATTATTTTTTAGGCACCCATCTTTATATGGCACCAGAAATATACCTCACTTTTACAGGCAATATTAAAGGGTATGATTGGAGAGTGGATTGGTGGGCACTTGGTAAAAATAAATATTTTTTTAAACAAAAAAGCTTCTAAAAAATCCTTAAAGGTGTTTGTTTTTATGAAATGCTTCGTGGGCGTACTCCATATGAATATCCCTCAACTTTTTCTTCACTTCAGGTTCTTACTTTGGGACTTTTTTATTATCAAAAAACTTAAATTTTAGTAATTCCTTTCCTCATATTTTAAATTAAAAATTATTTTGAGACTTTAATTCTTAACAGTCCTCTAATGCTACGGTTACATAAAAATCGCGCGCGACACGCGACAGTCGCTAGGCGACATGTCGCCGGCGACAGTCGCTAGTGGCGTGGTTACATAAAATCGGCGTCTTCCGCAAAAGCGACTGTCGCAAAGCGACAAACGCTGATTTTATGTAACCACGCCACTAGCGACTGTCGCCGGCGACATGTCGCTTAGCGACTGTCGCGTGTCGCGCGCGATTTTTATGTAACCACTAAATCCGATTAAAAATTTTTTGAATATTTACTAAAATAAAATTTATAAAATCAAATCATTTTATTCTGCCATGGTACCGATCAGGTTTTTTTAATTCGTAGTACATCATTTTTAAATTACTTGCTGGTGGCGCTCCTCTCGTATCTAGTGAAATCTCGTGTTTTTTAGAGGTCTCGTATCTCGTATTTTGCCACAAGACATGAGATATTTTCAATATACCTATTTTAGAAAAAATGTCAACAATTTGGGATTATTTTAGGATCCTAGAATTAGGAAAAAAGGAAGAAATCTTTCCCAGTGGTATCTTGCCCAGAAATCTTGCCCAGTGGCAGTGGTATATAGAAATTTTGCCCAGTGGTATACACTTTGCAAAAATTGGATTTTCAGAAAAACAAATGGCAGGAAAAATACAAAAAAAATTCTGTGAACATTTTCATCAATACAGGGTGTGGCATAAGTAACCGGACACTTGTTTTCTCTCATAACTTTATTAAAACACAATCAAATAAAATCAAAATACAATCAAATGATAGAGAATTAAATAAGGAACAAAAATAATCAAGAAGATTCGAAATGCCCACCCTTGGCTTTGATCCAGAGGCGAAGGCGTGAAGAAAAATTTTCGCAACTAGCACGCACCTCCTTGAGCAACTAGCACGCAACTCCGGTTACTTATGCCGCACCCTGTACTGAGTAGAAAATAAAAAAGAACGAAGTCCGTAACTGTTTTCATCATGGAGATCTCAAATCACAAAAATCAACGGGAAAACGGGGTACAGTACTTTAAAAATTATTTTAACCCCCAGGGCTTATATTAAAATTTTCTTTTGGGCTCATTAGAAAGCCCATAAAATTTACTATAAGATAGCCCAGGCTCAATTTTTCCGATAAAAAATTCATGGAGATAGGGGGTCCCGGAATCCCGGGTTTTTAGCGATAAACGGGATTACCGGGATTTACGGGATTAATCCCGCGTGATCCCGTCCCGGTCGAATTTTGGAGAGACCCACCGTTCTTCAAATCATCCTTTATCACTCCAAATATACCGTTATCCTTCTAAGTCTACATATAAGCATTCAAATACTCTTAATCTCTCTTAATCCACAGATATCCCACTTAATCCTCTGATATCTATTCATTCCTCCGTTAATCAGACGAAATCCAGATATTGTCTCCAAATCCGCCAATATTCAACATATTTATAATTTAAAAATTTTTTTGTGAAAATCCCGGAATCCCGGCGGGATCCAGGGAAATTTGAGAACGGGATTACCCGTTCTCAAGTTCCGGGATCCCGTGAATGCGATTTTGCCGACCTCTAATTTGCATGCTTTTGCACGGCCCTACTCATCAAGAAATGGTCACTTTTTCATGTTTTTGGTATCATTTGATAGAGAATCAAAGGATCTACAAAATATCAAAAATTCAGAATTTTTGACCGATTGTTAAAAAAATTATGATATAAATACTCGATAGTATACTCAAAATCTCAAAAATATCGAAAAAAAAGAATATTTTTTGCAAAATGTATACCTTTTTCAAAATCAATTTTAACCCATAAGATTTAACTTTAAAAATATAAAATTTATATTGATCGATAGAGAATAAACTGAACTTTCAGAATCTTTTTAAATTTTGAAAATCGGATCAGAATTGATCGAGAAATAGCATGTCGCAAAAAAGTGTCGCCGAAAATTCAAACATGTTTGAATCAAAAAAAGTGTCGCCGGCGACAAGTCGCCGGCGGAAATCGCATTTTATGTAACCACTAGAAAAAGCGACAAAATCGCGCGCGACAAGTCGCCGGCGGAAGTCGCGGTTTATGTAACCACTCAAAAAAGCGACAAAGTCGCGCGCGACAAGACGCCGGCGGAAGTCGCTTTTTATGTAACCACTAGAAAAAAGCGACAAAATCGCGCGCGATTTTTCTCTCCTCTTTTTACATTATCTTTTCTGTCGCGTGTCGCGCGCGATTTTTATGTAACCGTAGCATAAAGTAATAGGGAAGGCTGTACTTTTCACAAATTTCAACAAATTTTCTTCAATTTTTTAGGCATTAAATATAATATATACTCGTAGTGTTACAATGCCTAGTAGATGGCCATCTGATCTCATTTCCTTCCTTAGAGCAATTATTAATCCTGATCAAACTATGCGGGTAGAAAATTTTGAAAATGTTCAAAATCATGTTTATATGGAAAGAATTAATTGGAAAAATGTTTTTGATAGAAAAATGATTCCAATTTTTATTCCTCCAAAAGAACGTTTAGAATCTTTTGGAAGACGTAATTACCGTGCAACAATTTCTGTGCCTTTCTCAAGATCACAGCAACATAATAAATTAAAATATTTACCTTCAAAAGAGAAGGGGGCGTCAAATGAAGCTGTCGGTAAATAAATAAATTTTTGTTCAAATAAATTTAAAAAAATTTTTTTTAAGAATTGACTCAATCAAATGAACTTTTAAATGAAATAGCTAATTTAACTATTAAATTTAAAATGTTTAATAGATTTCGGTGTGAAACACAAATTGCTGAACCTAGGCAATCTTTGGATATTGTGGCTAATAAAGAAGTTAGTTTTAAAAAATCTAAGATAATCTGAGATACATTTTAAGGGTAAGAATAAAGGAATATTCAAAAAATCTGGGCCAACCCCATCCATAGGAAATAGGAGAACCGAGCAAAATAAAATTCAGAAATGCTGTGCTTATTTAGGAATTAGCTCCCAAGCCGGAGTCAAGATTCTTAAATCTTCCCACTTTTTCGATTCAACACAGCTCCAGCTATACCCCACTAATAATCGTGGCTCTGGTTTAGTGGACGCATAAACTAGACAAGCGCCATAAGAGTTATTTAAGCGAATGGTAGGCGTGAGAAAAAAGTGGGAAAAATAACTAATAAATTATATCTCCCTAAAAATTATTTATAAGTTATTTATAATTAAAATATATTTTTAGAAAAAACTACTTTCTAGAAAACCAACACAACTATCAATAATTAATAAAGAAAAACAGCAAAAACCGTTAACGGGTCGTCCGTTAACACAAGCGGACAAATTAAGAAAGGCCTTCCAAACGGCTAATCAAGACGTTAATTATTCAATTTAAAATTATTTTTTAAATTTAAAGCAATATTTGTCTTTTTTTAACCTTTAAAATATGTAAATTATTTTTAAATACAAAATATTTTGTCCCAAAATAAAAATACCCGGGAAAAAGACTTCAGACCGAAAAACTATTCGGACCAGAAAATAGACCGGATTCATGTTGGACCTCTGTTTTTCCTTAAAACCTTCCTTAAACTTAAAAAAAGTGTTCTAACCTTAATAAAATTATCCTTGCATCAAAAATATTTTTATTAAGAAAACAAACTATGTATATACTAGAATAGTTACTATTATATAAAATTCTAAAAACAATTAATTATTTAAAAGAAACTTAACAACCTAGGAATTACTTGAAAAGGAATAAGCGGTGTATTTACTTCTAAACTTGAAGCCGTTTCGAAACATTCTAATGCCTCATTACTCCTTCCAAGTTCAGATAAAACACAACCAAGTTGGTGCCAATTCCGAGCATCATAAGGTTCAATTGAAGTTGCATCTCTTTAAAAAATTTAAAAAAAAAATAAAAGATAAAATAAACCTAAACATTTTTTCAGCCATTTTTAAATATCCTTCAAAATGATAAATTCTTCCCAAACAAGCTATTGAAAGTACATGTTCTGTACATATAGAAATTGCTCCAAGAACAAAATTCTTTGCCTCTGCCATTAATTTTTTGCTTAAATTTGGGTCAGTTTGAGCACATTTTTCCGCTCTTTTAAAATAAAGATGCCCCTAAAAATTAAATTTTAAATATTTTAGTTTTCAAATAAAAAAACCTTTAAATAAAGTGCCTGATAAGAGTTTGGATAAATCATACAAGCTTCCTCAACACAAGCTTGAACATCATTCATTCGTTCAATTTCTATAAAAAATTCTGCCAATTCCACCCAAATATCAGCCTTAAAAAATAAAGAATTAAAAAAATAACTTAATTTCAACCTGCAATCGAAAAACAGAAAAATTAATCCAAGACTTGCTAGAAGAAGATAATACACTTAAAGAGTCTGTTGATGCTGGTCCACCTCCGTCAGAAGTATTTGTTGGAGGACCGATTGTTGAGAGATTATCTAGTAAAGAACATTTAAGGTTTGACTAGCTTTTTGGATTTTTGAATTTTTTGTCAGTCAAAAGGATTTTCAAAAAGTAACGGGGAGGAATATAGTTTTATATTAAATTAAAAACCTATAGATGGATATGGCGTCCCTTCAACATTCGAAGCAATTAAATGAGTAGAAGGTCCCGGTGTTGCAGTAATCCCTAACGGAGCAATCAAAAGAGGTGTTAATGGAACTATTGCTTCTTTGCTTGTCGTCTAAAAAATTGATAAAAATTTATCAATTCTTCTCTTTTCTTACCATTTTATTAATATCTCCATTTAATCTACTATTTTGTTCATCATCACAAGGATCAGTTGTTGATCTATTTTTTCTCCAAAAACAAATTAAATTATGTGAAGTTTGTAAAGCTTCTTCTACTCGGCCATATCTTGCTTCTAATTTTAACCTATTTAAATAAAAATAATTTAGGCAAAGTTAACAGTAATCAACAAGACATTCGGGTGGAGGTTTTATAAATTAAAAATCATTTCATATTCAAAGTTAAGTTACTGAATTTAAATTATGTATGAGATGCTATTTAAAAGCTCATTGTCAGCTACCTAACATAAAAAATCACAGGAGGCTTATTTTCTTTGTTACCTCGACAATTTAACAAACCGCCTTTTCCTCAAAAAAGTCGCTTATATAAAAATTTAATTAAATAAAAATTAAAAAGAACCTCAAAACTAAAAGGCCATAATGTGAAGGAAAATCATTTAGAGCATTTATTCTAAAAATGTAAATATTTTTTCTTTTATAGAAAATAAACATACACAAGTTCCAGCGCTCCTTTGTAGTCTTTTCTTGCAGTAAAAATTAATGCAAGTAACATTATTGCAAAAGGATTTTCTGTGTTAAGACTCAAGGCTGCTTGACAATATTCTTTTGCTCTTTCAAAATCTCTGGCTGAAGTGAGAATTAAATTGCAAAAAATTAATAAATGAATTTCAGAAAATGGAATGAATGAATGGAATTGTGAAATTTGGTAATATTTAAATTTATATTAGGGATGTCGAAAAAATTAGCTAATCCTCAAAAAATTAGGCAAAAATTTACATATGGAATGACAAATATTTAATTTTTATTGCTACATAAAGTGTTAAGAACATCTAAAATTTCTTAAGAAATTTTCTTACTTACAATTAGCATATTCTAAAGCACAATAAAGATGTGCTGTATCATCATGTGGATCTAATTCAATAGCTTTTTCATAATATTTAATACTTTCCGCAATTAATTCTTTTTTTGAACATAAACTATTTCCATATTGAGCTTTTAATCTTTAAAAATTAATTTAAAAAATAAATTTATTTAAATAAACCCAAAAATCATAGCCAATAATAAATGACAACGTCCAGAAAGCCAAGTGCCAGAAGATAAATTTATTGCTTTTAAAGTTGCTGATTCGGCTTAAAATAAATGTAAAAATTATATAAAATTTTAGAGAAGTACATCAACAATTTTTAAATTGAAATTTAATTAATTTAAAAAAAGTAAACAAAAAACAGAGGTAAAACTAAAATATGTAATCGTGTGAATAAAAATGTGATAGATTTAGTTTATCTAATTCGAGCAAAATGTTGTTTCGATTAAGACCCGTTAATGAAGGAAAAATTAGGAAATAAGACAAAACACATATTTTTTAGTTTTTAAAGTCAACCAATCCCCGTTATTGAAAAACCTTAAAAAAATTAAAATTAATTTAAAATAAACCTAATTCCAAATCTCCAAGTTGTTCAATTTGTAAACGAGCCAAATGTAAATATTCAGTAATTAAACTTTCATCAAATTTATTTTGGTTGTTTTCCTCTTCCTCTTTTTGTAAAATACATTTTTGTAACATTTTTGTTGCTCTAGAATATCGATTATCACAAATTAAAGACAATGAAAGTTGTTGACCAAAAAAATTATCATCTTTTTTTGAAATACGTAAAGCCTTGTCATATAAACCAGAAAGTAAACGATATTGTCGAATATTTGTTAAAATACTAATAATCTGTTGAAAAAAAATTTTTTTTGAAAAAATTTAAAAAAAAACCTGAAACTTTTCCCAACCTAAATTATCATCTTCATCACTCAATTCAACAAAAGATTTTACAAAATTAGAATCCAATACTTGACTAGTTTTAATATCATCACTTCTTCCATTAAATTGACTTTCTTTGTTGCCCATAAATAATTAAAAATAAAAAATAATTATCCAAAATTTTCAAGGAAACAGCACTTAAGTGAGAGAAACAATTTGTAGGGAAATTTTAATGATATTTTTATTTATAAGTCAGGGCAGCACAAAAGTCGCAGCGCAAATGTCGGCGCACAGATAGAAGAATAAGTGCTTCCACTAAACAAAATGGTACGCGATAAAATGGTCCTACGGGTATAGATGGACAAAATGGTTCCAAAAAAGCGGCTACTGAAATTCCAGTTTATAGTTCAATTCAATTTTTCATCGGTCATGTTTTATTTAGGACTACTTATTATTAAATAGTACTATAAAAGCCTTCTGGTATGGAATATCGTCTTGTATTCAACGTTAACACTGTCAAATTATGGCGCCTGCCACCTGTATTACAACTGCGGAGGACGAACTCATTAATGCCCCTTTCTATCACGGATTTCAAACTGCAGCAGAGGCTGAACCATTATTGACGAAGGACAATGGCCGTTTCCTAGTTCGCCTGATAGAAGAAAATGGTCATTTTGTAAGTAGTTTCCTTTTATAATTAACGTAGATGTAAACTTGTAGATCTACATTGTAAGCGTATATTGGAAAGGCAAAAAGCATCACTATCGGATTTTTCAAACAAGACACGGCAATTTTTTTCATTTGAATGGGATTCCAAAGCGAGTAAGAATTCTCTTTTCTTATAAATCTATTTTTCACTTAAAGACAGTTGCGGCCCTTATACGATACCACCGATTCTCACAGAAGCCTGTCAACGATGAATCTGGTGCCTGCCTTCGTAGTTACGTGGAGAGAAGTCATTATGCGTAAGTTACTTGTTTTCTCCGTTAAAAATAGAAATACTCTGAACATTGTAGCATCTACCGTGAACAGCTTACCATTCTTAGTGTGATAGGTCATGGAGAGTTTGGCGAAGTGCGCAAAGGGAAACTTAGAGTTGGAATGCAGAGCATTGATGTAGCTGTCAAAACAATGATTACTGACAAGAAAGGCATTGATCCAAATGAGAGGTGAGAGAATTAAGGGAATTATAATCTCTTCAATGATTACTTATTTTTAGGATTCGATTTCTGCGCGAAGCAAATATGTGAGTAATTTTAGATTAAAAAATATTTTGGAAAGGTTAAATTGAATTAAAACGTAATTTAAAAAGTTTTACATAAAATTTAATAGACACATGCGCCTGCAACATCGAAACATTATTCGCCTTTTTGGCGTGGTCGTGTATAATGATCCAATATTGATTGTGACGGAATACGCACCTGGTTTGTCATCTCCAAGTATGAAGGTGTTTTTTATTTTCAGGTGGTTGTCTACACGATCGGTTGGTAGAAAAAAGGCCGACTGATAAAGAAAGACTGAACTTTTGTCGAGATATATGCTTTGGAATGGCTTACTTAGAGAGTAAGGAGGTAATAAAGATTTTCTTTTATTGAAATCTTTCTAATCTTTAGGTAATTCATCGGGATTTGACAGTCAGAAATTGTTTGCTTTCGAAATGGAACGTTGTGAAAATTACCGATTTTGGCCTTTCGCTTCAAGGAATAACAAAAGTACTTCTGCCCAGAGCTCGTGCCCCGATAAGGTGTTTTCCTTAATGTTAAATTTTTACAAAAATAATTTTATTTTTAAAAGGTATGTGCCACCCGAAACACTGAAAACTGCACTTTTCTCACACAAATCTGATGTTTGGGGTTATGGTATTGCGCTCTTTGAAATCTGGTCAAAACCACATGAGGAGCCATACAAAGAAATTCAAAATAATCGACAACTAAGAAAGAAAATACTTGAAGGGTAACTGAGAGAAAATAAAAATATTTTTTAAATTTTCTTTTAGATATCGACTAACACCACCAAAAGGAATGCCAAAAAAGATGCAAGAACTAATGCTGAAGACTCAGAGTGCTTCACCAGATAATCGGCCAACATTCAAGACGATAAAAAAGATGTATTTTGGAGAAGAAAAGAGTACATTCAGAGAATATGTTAGTCGAATCTTTCGAATTTCTTGACTTAGGAAACCTTTATAACCAAGTTCTAATTGTATTATAATTATTCTTTAGTGTAATGTATGTATTAAAAAATTCCTAATTCACACTTTTTGTAAAAAATATGTATTAATAAAAAAATCTAAACTTAATACTGTAAATAGAACCTCATCCCATTTATTCGCAAGATTGTGCTTTAATTTGTTAATAAACATTTTTTTAGAATTTGTTTTTTAAATAGAATAGTAACAATTCTCGATTTTTTTATTTAGTTATAGATTTCATATCTAGCAATTTTACTTGGACTTTCACGAAATTTTTACTCTTGCATTTTTCAGACTTCTAAATTACTTTATATAATTATGGACGAAAATGAGTTTATGGAACAGGAAGATGACATTGAATATGTTGAAGAGCCGATGGCAGCTGATTTTGATTTTACAAATGTTAATGATCCTCTCACTTTAGATGACCCAGTTTCTCAAGGTTTTTTGAACACTCGATGAATAATAAAAAAAAAGATCTTTAGATGATGTACAGGTGCCTTCTACCGTTAACGTTGTTAGTGTTGAACTTGAGACTTTTTCGAAGGAATATACAGATTATGCATTGATGAATAGGTTTTTAATATTTTAAAGCTTTTTTTTGGGAATTTTTATTCTTTGTAATTTCTGCGTACACATAAAGTACATTGTAAACTTTTGGTTTTTCGATTAAAACCCCCAAAAATTTAATCACTTTTTGATAACTGCTTTTGACTGTTGTCTAATTTTATATTTTCAGACTTCTTTTTATTGCCGATGTTTGCCCTCCTTTGAGGGCTGATGCATTAAAAATGCTTATCAACTATGTTATTAAGGTTTATATTTTTTAAATAACTTTATTTAAATTAAACCTTAAGAAAACTCAAAATATTCCCATGCTCAATGCTGCCTATCAACGGGTTGAATCTGCAAAAGCTTTTGGTAATATTTCTGGAATTGAAAGTGTGCCTGATATTGATAAAAGTTGGATTGAGATTACCACAGTTAAAGCAAATAATCGATTGGAATCTCTTCTAGCTGAGTTTAAACGGCAGAAAGATGAAGCTGTTAAGGTTTGTAATTAAACTGCCCGTTATGACAATCCTCAATCGTTTTTTAGGAATCAATTAGACGTTCATTAGAGGATGTTTTCCATCAATATGTGCAAATGGGAAATCTCCCAGATGCTCTCAAACTTTATACTCGAGGAATGCGTGAATATTGTACTTCTCCAAATCAAATAATACAGGTTTATTTATGCAAGACGGGGACAAAAAATATTTCTAAAAAATTCCCTTTAGATGCTCATAAGTTGGATTAATGTTACTATTTATGCTGAACAATGGCAAAAACTTTCTGTTTTGCTTCCACAAGCTGATCGCGCAATAAATGAGATTATTGAACGTGAAAATGTTTCTTCAATACCCAGCAATACTTTTAGCACAACTCAATATTCTTCTCTCCAATCTCTGCAAATTCCAGCGCGTACATCTAAAATTCAAAAAGATTTGATTCTTAGTTCAAAGGCGAAAATTTTGGCTGTCTATGGACTTGCTTTTCTGCAGAATAAAAATTACAAAGCAGCGGCCGAGAAATTTATGACGGTGAGTCTGTATTTCTGGATTAGTTATTGGGGTCCCATGTCCATATAGATAATTTAACCCAATTTTATTTTTTAGATCGACTTGGATGTTCTCAATTACCCACAACTTATTTCCCCTAGTGATGTTGCAATTTATGCACTTATCTGCGCTCTTGCGACATTCAGTCGGACTGAATTAAAAGAAAAAGTACTTGGTTCTCCTCTTTTTCGAAAATCTCTGGAATCAGAGCCAAAACTTATTGAATTATTACAAAGATTTTGTCAAAGTCAATTTGGTATTTGTCTTGATATTCTTAATGATTTGCGTGATCAAGTATGTTTTGACATTATTTTTATAAGTTTTGTTGTAATACTTGTAAGGAATTTAATTTGTCTCGGAAATTTTTTGGTTAAGTGATTTTTGGATACTTTTAGTATTAGATTTTAATTTAAGAGTTAATATGAGAGCTACATTTAATTATTATAGTTATTATTGAACATCTACTTAGCGCCACATATTTCTTTTCTATATTCTCTAATCAGACAGAGTGCATTAATTCAATATTTTGACACTTATTTAAGCTCCGAAATTGGTCAAATGGCTATTGAATTTCGTACTTCCGTAGATGAGGTTTTTATAAATTTTTGAAAAAAGTATTTTGTTTGCTTTAAGCTTGAATCCGAGTTGATTTCATTAATTGAAAAGGGCTTGCTCAAAGCAAAGATTGATTCGTACAAGAAAGTTCTTTACGCAAAATTTTCTGACAATCGAACAGAAATATATGAACGGTATTTATTTTATTTTTTAATTAAAATTTAAAAATTTTAAAGGGTTTTAAATTTGCGGAAACGAATTAGCCAACATGCCAATGCTGTTTTACTTAGAGCTGCCTTACTTAATCATCGGATTCATGAACAGAAATAATTTTTGTTTTATAGAACAAGTTTTTTTAAATTATGATTTTTCTGATCTAAATAAGGAGTTCGAATTTGTTTTATAAAAAATATAAATTTATTTTTTTAAGTTTTATATAATCGAATCTTGTATTAACATTAACCTAGTTTAATTTGATAGAAGGAAGATCTTTAGCTCGTTTTGTCACATGTAATTTAAATAAGGATATCCATCTGACCCTTTTTTGTTTCAAGAAGTGATTCTTCTGGGTTAATGTTAATCTGAGATTTAGCAATATTTTTTCTAATTGTCTACATACAATGATTATTTCTATATTTAATTAATTTAATACAATTTATCCTAAAAACAGGTGTTAGTAAATTAATTGTCTACAAAAATATATATAATGGTTGAGGTTATCAATGCTTCTAGCTACATTCAGGTAATTAAATTTAGGAATATTAAACGAAATTTTTTTTAATTCAGTGGCAAATCATTCGTAAGAACAGCGCGTTTTTGAAACGTCAGCGAGGTATTCCCAAGCATTTCAGCACTGAACCTTTCAATATGGCTCGTATAAATAGTATTCGCCATAATGGGCTGATAAATGCAAAAGCTGTGGATGTTCGTCTGCCAAAGGATGGAAAGGGGGTTCAATTGACTATTAAAAAGAAGCGTGCTGTCAATAAACCGGTTAAGGCAAAGTCGACTACTATTTTTACTAAGGTTATATTTTTTAATTTTTGTTTTTTAATTCCCGTCCCATTTTAATATTTTACTTTAAATAATTCAAAATTGTTTTTAGGATAGTCGCAAAGTTCTCAAATCTGTCGGAAGTTTCATCCGCACCTATAAACCATCACACGCCAAATTAGCTCAGCGACGTGCATCACAACTTTTGCGAACCCAAAAGAAAATAAAATCGAAAGGCGCGAAGAAGACCAAGGCTGAATAAATTATGGAGATTTAAATGAAAAGAAGTTTTTTGGAATTGTTTTTTCGATGTTATTTTGTTAATTTCTTCGCTGACATTTGTTTGGTCTTTGAAAAAAATTGTTAAAAAATAAAATTAAAAATAATTTTAAATTGTATAGTTTGTGTTTTAAATAAACAAAAATTACTTGGAAATAATATATATTTTAAAAAAACAAGGCTTTTAAATTCGATAATAGTCAATTTGTTTTCTTGATGGATATAAAATACAAGGTAATTATTTAATAATTATTTGTATTTTTTTAATTTTAAGTTTGTTGATTTAATTGGTTCTTCATACAGAAATGGACCTGTTCGGTTTTTACCAGATAATTTTTCGTTACTTTGTGCAAATGGAAATAGATTAAAATATTTTGATTTGAAAAGGTTTTTTTTAACTTTAATTTAAAATTTTTGTTTTTTTAAAGGAATACTTCCTTTACATCAGAAATCCAATTAAAATGTAACATTGTTGCTTTTGATATAAACTCAACTGGAACACATGCAATTGTTGGGGATGAACGTTAGTTTTGTTAAAATTATTTTTTATTCTGAAATTAAAAATTAATTCTTCAAAATTAAATACCCGTATTTTCCTTTCCAAACGAAGGGAATTTTCAGAAAAAAAGTTTAAGGAGAGGGTTAATGATAAAATTTGTTTTTCTTGATAGGAAAGAATAAAAAAACTGACGTTTATTTTCAATTGGCTAATGTAAAGAGTCGAAATTCCTTCCTTTTTTAAAAGTAACTATATTCCCCAAATAATCTCTTGCCAACTATACACTTTTTAAGAATTTAAAACCATTTATTTACATTAATTTAATTTTTATACAATTTAGGTGGAAATTGTACTTTAATACATTTGGGTAGCGATGTTATTCTCTATAGAAGGAATTTTCGACAAAAAATCAGAGCTTTGAGTTTTTCTAATGATTCAAAGTTTTTTTTATTTTTTATTTAAATTATTTTTTTATTTTCAAAGTTTTGTTGCTATTGGGACACAAGGAAAAGTTTTTATTTTTTCTGTGGCTGATATATCTGCAAATCAATTTGTACCTTTGGCTTTGTTAAATAGATTTATTCATTCTGAAAATAAGATTAATGCAATTGGATGGTCTTTTGATGGAAGGTTTTTTTAAACTTTAAAGATAATAATTATTTCCCCCAAACTTTTACCGACTTAAATGAGCCTTGAAAGGTGCGTGTGATTTTCTTTTTATGAAATTCGATTCTTAAAAAATGTTTCACTAAATTAACTTCTAAAAATATTTTCCAGTTAATTTTTCTAGAAAATAAATATCTTTTGAATTTTTTTTGAATTTTAATTTTGTTAAAATTTTCTAGTTTAATCGCCGTTGCTGGAAATAGAATTGTTAAAATATTCAAAACAGTACCTGATTCTTCTAAAAATCTTGGAGGTTTTACTTTTGGAGAAAGGGCTTCAGTTGTTGGTGTTTGGTTTTTTAATGAAAATAATCAAGTAAATTTAATTTAAAGAATTTATTTTTTAATTTTTAGTTTCTTTCTGTTGATAAAAGTGGAATGTGTAGCATTTTTGAGTTGGAAGATAATTCTGAAAAATTGATATTTCAAAGAAAAATTAGGTTATTTTTTAAAAATTAATCAAAATTCAAAACAAAAATTTTTTAAGCAAATGCTTAACTTCTTTAATTGGCGTTACTACACATTTGGGGCTTTTATCCGCCTCCGTTAACAAACAAAAAAAGTTATTGGCTACTGGATTTTCAAATGGAACTTTTTGTATTTTTGATATTCCTGGACTTTCTTTACTACAAAACTTTAGGTTTTTTAAGTAATTAAACTTAAAAAATTCATAATATACAAATAATCCACAAATTTTATCTGCAACATTGAATTGAATGTTGTTGTTTAAATAACTTGTTAAACTTTTACACAAGCTGTTTAAAGCTGCCTCTAAATTTTTTGAATTTATCTTAATGTTAATTTATTTTTTTTCAAGTATTGGTGATAAACAAATAAATTCAATTAATTTCAATTCTCGGGGTGATTGGTTAGCTATAGGATGTGGAAGGGGAATGGATGCACAATTACTTGTTTGGGAATGGCAAAGTGAATCTCATATACTTAAACAACAATCACATAGTCAAACAATTACTGCTATAGCGTATTCTCCTGATGGTTCAATTTTGGCAACTGGGGCAGAGGATGGAAAAGTAAGAAAGAAATTTTTGTAAAAGTTTAAAAACCATCCTAATTCGGGGTTCTGATTGCTTTGATTTTCACTCAAATTTAAACAAGGATTAGACACAAAAGATAAAACAAACACTCAAACAATTATTTATTTACAAACAATATTTACAAAACATCACACAGGAAAGTAGGAACAATAAGAATCACACAAGGAAATATGGGGGACAATTATGAGGGAGAAATGTTTTCCTATTATTATCGCATTTTGGCGTCATCATCTTCCATCAACCGCTTACATGTTGTACTCGATTGGAAGGTTCTTGCGGCGCACCATACCGTCACCCTGGAACCACTCGCGGCGGAATTGCTTGGCTGCTCCTTCCGGTGTGTTGGTCCATTCGACGGTGACACGATCGTTGTTGGTCGCTTCCGCAGCCGGATCGAAGGCGTCACAAGAGATGGCGATGTTGATGGCCTCCTTCGGGTCGAGCACACCGTTGGGCGGGTCCATGTTCAGACGGCGAGGGTTGGTCGTCTTGAAGGCGAAGCCGATACGATGCCCACCAGAGTTGATGATCTGTAAAAGTGAAAAGAAATATTTATTAGTGGTTAGATTAACAAAAAAGTTGAAAACTTCACCTTCATGTAGTAGGTGTGCTTGTCATCGAACGGCGCGTTGAAGATGACCTTCACGGCAGGAAGAGTCGTGATGTCGCCGGGTGGAACAGACGCCATTGTTGTTGAGAACGAAGTGTTGTAGCTGGAATTGAAGTTGAAGAGAAAGCAAGTTGGTGAAACTGGTGTTTTACTGCTTCTTTTATACTATTATGCTCAAAATCAGTATGCTTGTGATCGAAACTATAAAAACCGTAATAATGCTCCAGTTTCACCAACTTGCTTTCTCTTCAACTTCAATTCCAGCTACAACACTTCGTTCTCAACAACAATGGCGTCTGTTCCACCCGGCGACATCACGACTCTTCCTGCCGTGAAGGTCATCTTCAACGCGCCGTTCGATGACAAGCACACCTACTACATGAAGGTAAAGTTTTCAACATTTTTTATCAATTTGTCCTCTAATAAATATTTCTTTTCACTTTTACAGATCATCAACTCTGGTGGGCATCGTATCGGCTTCGCCTTCAAGACGACCAACCCTCGCCGTCTGAACATGGACCCGCCCAACGGTGTGCTCGACCCGAAGGAGGCCATCAACATCGCCATCTCTTGTGACGCCTTCGATCCGGCTGCGGAAGCGACCAACAACGATCGTGTCACCGTCGAATGGACCAACACACCGGAAGGAGCAGCCAAGCAATTCCGCCGCGAGTGGTTCCAGGGTGACGGTATGGTGCGCCGCAAGAACCTTCCAATCGAGTACAACATGTAAGCGGTTGATGGAAGATGATGACGCCAAAATGCGATAATAATAGGAAAACCACTCTCATAATTGTATATCTATCATGTAATGTCCCCATATTTTTTTGTGTGATTCTTATTGTACCTATTTTCCAGTGTGATGTTTTGTAAATATTGTTTGTAAATAAATAATTGTTTGAGTGTTTATCTTACCTTTTGTTCTTAGGTGTATATGTATATAAATTTTTATTTAATTTAACGAAACTTACTGTTGTAGTTCTATAGCTTTTCGTTTGGAAGTTGACAAATTAAAGTTGCCCTTGAGTTCCACCGCCCATCTATTCTCTTTATTTTTTTTTCATCAATCAGATAAATCTAGTTACCTATGTTTTCCATTGTGATTACAACCTCCAATTGTATGAACGTCTCTCTCTCTCCTTTAGCTCGTTTTACCTTCTTTCTGTTATTCTTTTAAACTTAGGTGAAACTTTGGAATTGTGCAACTTCGTTTTGTACTGTTACTTTTACTGAACACGAAACTGGAGTTACAGATATTTGTTTTACTCAAAATGGAAAAGCTGTATTGTCTTCTTCTCTTGAAGGTTCTATTAGGGCACATGATTTGAAAAGGTGAATTTAAAATAAAAAAATCTTTAATTATCTTATTTAAAAAGGTATCGTAATTTTCGAACATTAGTAGCACCTAAACAGACACAATTACATTTACTTTGTGCTGATTTTTCTGGTGATATTGTTGCAGCTGCATCGAGAGATTTATTTGAAATTTATGTTTGGGTGAATAATTTATTTAAAATTATATTTTTGAAAATTTTTTTTCCAAAAATTGAGGGTCATTTAATCTAAAAATAAAAAATTCATGTTTGGAGATAGGAGGGGATTATTTAAAAAGAAAAAAGATAACTTTAGAAGTAAACATTATTTTAGTCTTTTGAAACAAGTGAAGTTTTGGATGTATTGACAGGCCATTCTAATTTAATTAATGGATTAACTTATTATGAAAATACTTTATGTACTGTTTCTTTGGATAAAACAATGAAAATATGGAATATTGTGGATGGTGGAAATTGTTTTAGAGACTGTTAATTTATTAAATGAGGGGTTGGATGTTAAATATAGGTAAATTAATTTTAATTAGATTAAATATTTAAACTTTATTTTTAGTCCAAATGGATCTCTTTTAGCTGTTTTATGTTATGATTCTAATATAAATTTATTTAATACTTTAAATACTAGTCAAATTGGAATAATTGAAACAAAATTAGATATTGATGCTGGAAGGCAAAGAATTGATAAAGTTAAAAAGACTACTTCAGAAAAGAATAAGTAAAGTCTAATGGGAGGGAGGGGGTTTGATAGACGGAAATTGAGATATTTTTGGAAATTTTTGAAGGGATTGGGATTTATCTAAGAATTAAATTCCTTTTTTTAGAACATTTACTTGTATTGCATTTTCACCCAACGGTCAATTACTACTTGCTGGTGGACAATCAAATATTTTTTGTCTTTACAGTGTGGCTGATAGAATTAAAGTTCGATCGTTTAAATTAAGCAGTAATTACAGTTTGGATGGAGTTAATGTAAGAGAGAATTTTATAAAAAAAAATATTTAAAATTTCTCCCTTTTTTAGTTAGATATTAATTATCGAAAAATGACAGAATTTGGAAATTTAGATTTATTTGATTTAACAGATTCTGATGAAGAAGAAACAAATCCAAAAAAGAGAATTAGATTGCCCGGAACAAAACACACCGACCTCTCTGAACGGGCCGTTAGACCAACAATTTCTATGTCTAAAATTGCTTTTTCTCCGAATGGTAAAACTCATTACCAAATAATTTTCTACTAATTTCCAAATATTACTCTCAATTAGGGTTGTGGGTATTTAAATACTTCCATCTTTAATCAATAGATTTACTAATCTTTGTTGATTCTCACACTATTTTGTGAGAATCCAAAAGACAGGAGCTAAAGATTAAGGTTGTCGGATAGTTGGAAATCTTCGAATATCCGGATCCGAACCGAAAATTTCCGGTTATCCGATCTTTTTTCGGGTCCGGATCCGACAACCTTACTATAGATATAATAATTCCAATAAAAATTTTTAGGTTTGGATTTTGCCGTAGCCTGTACTGAAGGTGTTTGTATTTATTCCTTAACAAAACCCCGAAGATTTGATCCTTTACAACTTGAATCAAATGTTACACCTAAAGAAATACTTAATTCAACAATTAATGGAGAACATGTAAATGCCCTTTCTCTAGCTTTGAGATTAAATGATAAAGAAATTGTTGAAAGAACAATTGAAGCAATACCTGTTGAACAATGTAAAAAATGATTTTTGGGGTGTCTTTGTTAAAATTTAGGTGTAGGAATGGTGTCTATAAGAGAAGAGAATAGAGAGAAGATTATCTTAACCCAGTTAAAAATTTAGAGAAAAGGTTTCCTAAAAATTTAGTAAGGGGAAGTCGTATTGAAAAAAGTTAGGAATTTTTAATGAGCACTAAAAAGTCAATTTAGCATTGTTTCTAGATTTTCTTTACCTTATTGGAGAAATAATTTTTATAAAAGATTTCACTGTACAGATTTATTTTTTCTAAGTAATGTAGCCTAACTTGTTTAATACTTTGGATTGAAGCTTAAAATAATTTTTAATTTATTTTTTTTAAAGTACGTGTTGTTATTGACAATTTGGGTATTTCTTCAGCAGAATTATTACTTTATTGGCTAGCAGCAAACAAAACTGGAGGGCCAATTCCTTCAAAACATTTTCATTTTTATTTAATTTTAATTAAAGAATTGCTATATAAATATAGTAAAGAATTTAAATTATTAATTGATTTAAATAATCCTTCACTAACTGCTATTCTGGAATTATTAACAAGTCAAAGCAATTTATTACTTGGAATGTTTGTTTTTAATTTAATTTTTTTTGAAAAATAATATTTATTTTTTGTGGAAAGGGTAAGGGGTGTTAGGAGTAGAGCCCGGAATTTCATACCGAGGAGGTAATTGAGGGAGGTAACGGCAAATGTCATCGAAACTCACACAAAAATTCCAAGATTTTTAGGGAACTTAGATAAACATACGGAGGCTGTTATTTCAATTTTACCCTTCTAAATAATAAAAAAAAGTAGACTCATATAAAATAGAGAGTTTCTTGAACTTTGGCTTAAGCCTAATTGTGGAAAACTTTAAAATTACGTTTCTCAATTGCCGGTTTGCCCTAAATTTAAATCCCTTCTTTCTAATTATTTAAAAAATTATTTTAAATTTCTTCGTTAATTTTAAGGTCAACACAAAATTTGCACTCACTTGAATATTTAATAATGACTAGAAATATGGAAAATATTTAAATTTATTTTTATTTTCATTTTGTTGATTTATTTGTTAAAATTTTAAAATAAATAAATAAAAATAAAAGGAATACAAATTAAAAATAAAATAAATAAAAAATATAAACGAAATATTAATTCTGGTTCTAAATTCTTTTTAAATTTTGTAGTAAATAAATTATTTGTTTCTGAAATAATTAAAAGTTTTTGGAGAAAAGAAGAATATTTAATTGCTTTTTGAACTAAACATTTTGTGAATATTTGAATAATTAAAGATACTAATGTTGTTATTAATAAAAATTGAGCAAATGTTACTAAAAAAGAAAGAGAAAAAGTTTTTTAGAGGGAGGGGGATAGAAAAGTATTTTTATTTTATGAAAGAAGGGTGTAGTTATAAGGATGGAATTATGGGGGATTGGTGCAATATAAAATTGGAATTTAGGGTGAAGGATGGATGACTAGGCTGGGAGTGGGATCACTAAGAAATGATAGGAAATTAAAATAATTAATTTCAAAAATTCCAACCAATTTTTGGATTTTCCCCCGCCGCTGGAGGCAAAGTTTGAAGAGCATCGCGTAACAAAACAGATTCTAATACAAAATTAGCCAATAAAAGTCCAATAGATAATTCAATTTTTGTTGACAAAAAAGAAAGTAAAATAATAATTAAACAAACAAAACAGGGCAATCCAATCCCTAACCAATATTGTGGAGAATTTCGACGAAATTTTAAATTTAAAATAATTAATGTCCTTTGAAAATAAATGAGTATTTTTAATCTCCTTTTTTTAAAAAAAATTACCAAGTACTCTGTGCCTCATAAGCACTATTTGGCCTTTCATTAGAATATTTTCTGTGACTTTTATAAAAACTTAAATTAGCATTAACTGACAATAATTCCCATTCTTGTATATTTTTTTTGATTGATTGGTTACCCCAACCAAGCATTACAGAAGGTTCCAAATTATAATAACTTTTTAAATTTTTAAAAGATTATACATAAAAAATAAAGAAAACATTGCTAATTCAACTTCACTCATAACATTTGTTGTGTATAAACGAGCTAAAAAGATTTTAAAATTTAAAAAACATAAATATATTTAAACTGTGCGCAAAAATATAATTTATGGGGAGTTAAAACGCCAAAAATTTAAATAGGCGTTTTTAAACGTTCTTGCGCACATTTTAAAAATTTTAAATTTTTAAATTAAATTCATTTAAAAATTACCAGCACAATTTTGTTCATCGTTCGGATAATCTCTTTAATTTAACATTTAAAAAAATTAATTAATTTATAGTAAAAAAACCTAAAATTAAAATTACATCCAACACGGACAGAAAATGTTGGATAACTTTCTACCTAAAATTAGATTTAAAATTAATTATTCTTTTCTTTTTAATACTTTTGTTTTATTTGGAGTTATTGATGTTAATGTTGCGTGTGATCGACGAGATATCTTTTTTATTTAATTAAAAAAATATTTTTTAATTTTATTTTTAACCTCAAAATATTGATTAACACCGGAAACGCTAAAAAATAAAAATAAAAAATATTCTCTCTCTTATTTTTTAACAATTTTTTAAAAATTTAAAAAAATAAATCTCTCATTTAATAATAAATTTAAAAAAACTTTTTCTTGTTTGTGACATAAAAAAGCAAGAAATATAAATGTTCAAAAGAGATGTCACTGGTTGAGAAAAAAATCAGGTCGGGTTTCGGGTCGAGAGTCCGGATAATTATAACGAGAAATAATAATTCCCTAAAATATTTTTTAATTCAGTTTTTGGGAAACATTAAAATTTGTGTAGCAATCCCTCCCTTCAAATTTATTTATTTATACTACCTATTAGCTATTCGCAATTCTGGATGCCAAATTTCCCTTTAAAAAAATTGTTCTATTTTAATATTTTAATTATTAACAACCAAGTTTTAACCATAGTTGTTCTAACATTATTAAATAATGAAGGGTCCCAAGTAGCTTTATCATCACTCCAAGTCATACTTTTAATAATAAGAAAAAAAATATTTTTAAATTTAAATTTACTAAATATGTCCATTTAAAAACATTGTTTGTTGAAGTTGATCAACAGAAAAATGCCTAAAATATTTTTTGAGTTTAGTTAGTGATTGGTTACTGAGTGAGAGAAGGAAAGAGAGGGAAGATGGTTAAGAAATTAGAGGGTTTTTGTTCGAAGTATGTACATATTTTCTCTTTACTGATTTTTATTTAAAAAAAGGATCATTCTAAATAATTCTCGAATTATTTTTGGCCCCTAAAATGTAATAAGGTTGTAAAAAATCTATTTAAATTTACATTAAATAGGCGTGGAAGAGGACAGTAGTAGGTATTGACTGATTCTGTACAGGCCTAGTTTTTCTGTCATATTTTTTAAAAATATATTTTTGTAAATTTGTTTGTTCCTGTACATATGTTCTATTTGATATTTCTTTTTAAATAAATAAAAATTAAATTTTAAAAATTTCAATTTAAAAAACCCTCAGGCAATTCATTTTGAAAATTTGAAAATTCGGAAGTTTGAATTTGTGAATTAATTGGGGAATAAATAAATAAAATAATTAAGGGAAAATAATTAAAGATTAAATAATAATTAGTAAACATTTTTTATTTTTAGAAATAAAAAAACTAAAAATTAGTAAGCCATTAAAAAAAATTTTTTTTTAATCTTAAAACAACTGAAATCTTAAAAAAAGCACAAATTAGGAAAAACTCTATTTTATTAAATAAATTCTTTTTATTTTCAAAAATTAAAGGAAAATAACAATTTAATGAGAATAAATTTTTAAATTATTTTTATAAAAATATAAAAAGTTTTACCATTCAAATAATGTAATTCAATATATATTTTTATAAACATTTGCAAAAATTAAATAAACAAAACATTATTTTATTTATTTTGCTCTCTTTTAAATGTATAAACAATCAAAAAAATATTTAAAAAATTAGTCTACACAATACTGGGCACTAAACTTTCCCTCTTAACAGTAAACTGTTTAAAATAGTGAACAGAATTAAAAAAAGAAAAATAAAAATTCATTATTTATTTTTTAAATTAAAATCCAGAAAAATTATTTAAATATTTATTTTTAACAAAAAATTTCTAAAATAAACAAAACAAAATATAAATAAATATATTCTTTTTTTAAATTAACAATTTTTGTCCATATTTAAGTTTTTGTCCAGCTTCTATACAAAAATTAATATTTTTTGGTGCTTCAAAAATCTTTTAAAAAAATTATTTTAGAGAAATATTCTTAATTTATTTATTTACCAAAACAATTGCTGACCCCATTCTAAATTCTCCAATTTTTTCTCCAGGATTTACAGACAATCCTTTTATTGCAAATTTTGTATTTTCTTTTAATTTTCTATTTTTTTCTTGCTCCTAAAAAATTATTTTAAATTTTTTTCGTTTTGTTAAACTCAAATCTCGTTAAAGGAGTAGTATACCCCCCCCCCCCTCACTCTTTAATTTAGTTAACAATTAGAATTAATTTGCCAAAGCTAAACCATTTCAGAAGAGGTGGAAATGACTAGGTGCCGGAAATCGGAAATAATAATTCCAATTAACCTCTGCATGACAGTAATAAATGTAGAATGAATTTAGTGAAAAGATTTAATCTCTAGTTTAGTTCACTCCCCATTTAATTTACTCGGTTAAGGCTTATTTTAATATACATTCTAAGGGTGTGCCGGTTCGGCTTTCATCTTTCGCTTTTTAAAATCTGTTTCAGCACATCCCTGATACTTCCCACATATTTAAAATAATTTTAGTTTTACTTTTTCACCCTATAGGCTTAGAGACTATAACGAGATAAGAGAAATAATCTCTCTCTCTAAAATTTACATCAAAGATAACAATATTTCCAACAAACATTGCTGCTACTGGAGTCATCTATTTTGATTAAAAAAATTAAAAAATTTCAATAAATTTACCGAAAAATACCCAAATTTCCATTCTCCAGTCAAAACAATCCTTTCATTTTGACAAAATAATTTTGGATTTTTTAATAAATTTGTTGGCCTAACAGATTGGTAAAAACCGGGAAAATGAGTTTTTTCAAAAATTTTCCTTCAAAAAAATTTTTATAAAATTAAGAAAAAATTATTTTTCCTGACCATTTTGTTGGGGAATGAAAAGCTAAAAAAATTAAAAAAAAATCTTTTTTTCAAAAAAATTAAATTACCGTGATAATCACCGGGGGCCAAATAAATAATTAATTGATATAAGGAATTATTCTCCTTTATTTTATTTATATTAAATGGACCAAGAAATTCATTTATTTCATAATCCTGCCCTTTTACACATTCAATACGTCCATCAATTACTTTGCCAAAATGCAAAACTTTTTTATAAAAAAAGAGAATTAAATTAATTTTTAAAATTTTATTTCCAGTCAAACCATCACTTTTAAAAAATACCCATAAAATTAGAAATAAACTTTAATTTAAATTTTGTTTTTTTATTTGATAGATACCGGGTAAGAATAAGTGATACCCCCAAAATAATATTGAATAAACTAAATTTAAAATACAAATTCTTCAATGAGTGAGGTTTGATTGTTAATATTTAAATATTTAAAGAACCCTCAAAAAAACTTTTATAAAATTAATTTTTAATTATTTTTACCAGTTCCATCTGCTGGAGAAACCTTTAAAAAATAATTTTAAAAAATATTTTTTTACTTTCAAAAAAAATTAACCAAATCAGAATATAAATTAATTGGCCTAATCCCTTCTTTCAATTCTCTATTAAAAAATTCAGAAAATGTTGAATAATTTAATAAAGAAGGTTCTTTAGCTTCTTCCATATTACAATTATATAACCAAACATATAAACCATAAATATATTCACGCAAAAATGTTGAGACTTTTAAATTACAAAGAATTCCTGCTCTAAAAATGAAAAAATTTAAATGCTGTTTAATTAATTAATTAATTCAATTTAATTCCTGCTCTAAAATTTCTTTAATTTTTAAATTTAAATAAAAATAAGAGAAGGCTCCTTTTTGTTCTTGTGGTTCTAAATGCCAAAAACTTGAAAAAATTGGGAACGAAAACCTTTCGACATTTATATGTATCCGAGGTGTTCCAGTTTCGCCTTTCGCGGTTTTCGTGTTTTTGAACTTTCGTCTTACGCTTTTTAAAATCTGCTTCGGCACACCCAAGTTTTATACTTATTTATTAACTAGTTAGTCCATTTGTTTAATAAAAAAATTAATTATTACTTTGGAGAAAAAAATGAAACTAAAGGTGAACATTGAATTCTAATCTGGAATATAAATAAATTAATTAATGAAGGGAATGGAATATTGGGGATTGCAGAGACTAGAATTATGGGGGTCTCGATTGATATGTTAATTAAAAAGACTTTTTGGAGTTTGTTTTAAATTTAAAAAAATTTCTTTTTGTCAAAAATTTCTCAAAAAAATAATTCTTTTTCGGTGAATTGTCTTTTCAGTAAAATATCCCCACCAAAAATACAAACTCACCGACAAATTAGAGTAATAATGTTTTGGATCTCTAAATTGTCTCCATTCAGGTAATATATTTAAAGAATATAATAAAGTTAATGCCCCAACAGCCCCAGAAACTTTTTTAATTGTTGGTAATTTAATTAATGAATTTTTATTTGTTAAATTATTTGTTGTTATAAATCTCTTTAAAAGATTAAAATTAAATTAAAATTAATTTAAATTTACTAAAGAAATTGGAGGAGACTGTTGACGATAAAATAAATTTGAAAGTATTGTTGTTGTTGTTTTTTTCATTTTTTTTGAAAAATAAATTTAAAAATAAATCTAAAATTTGTGAATAATTAAAGTGATAGAATTGTCATTGTTTATTTGATTATGTATAATTTCAAACACAGAGCTACATATCAGGGGTGTGCCGAAAGTGATTTTAAAATGTACCATAGGTATTTATCATATTGGTATTTAGGTATTTATCATAATAGACCACTTCTTAGCTGATTTTATGTCTGAGACAAATATGTATAGGAACATTTTTGGAGAGATGAAAATGAGTAATAAAAACGACAATTTTACCCTAAAAATTTCCCAATCAGCCAGAAAATTTGAAAAAAAAATTCCGAGACGGCCAAGAAAATGTCAGGAGACTTTTCCATTTTCCTTAGACAAAGAAATTAGAAGAAATAATAAAAAAATAAGAAATAAAAGATTAACAACTCTTTCACTTTTTTAAACAAAAACAAAAAAAAATCATTTACTTATTATTAAAATATAAATTTAAAAAATAACAATAATAAATAACAAAATTTTAAATTAAACAATTTAATTTATATTTCAAAGCAGTAAGGCAAATAGGTATTGCTTCTTCTGTTCTAATTATTCTACTTCCTTGATCTGGTAAACTTTAAAAAAAATTTAAATTTAAAATTAAAAAAAGAGAAAAACCAATTAATATAATTTTCAAAATAATCTTTTGGATTATTTAAATTAATATTTGGATCTGATTCTATGGCAGATTCTAATCCATTTAATCCACCAAAAACTATCAGAATTTTGCTAAATTAAAAATATATATAAAATTATTATAATCAAGCTCAACTTGTAAATACACCGTTAAAATTGAAAAATTGTATTTAAAAATGAAATTTGGGGATTGGGGATAATGGTTACTTAAAAGGCTTTTAACTAAATAGAAGTCGACAAAATTTTTAAAAAATCTTAAATTGAGGCTAAACCATATTGGGTGTATTTCAGAAGTGTGCCAGTTTCGCGGATTTTCGCGGTTTTTGGACTTTAGTCTTTTAAAATCGCTTTCGGCACACCCTGGTGTATTTACATGTGAGATTTGACTGTAAAATTAAAAAAATATTTCAAATTTTATTTTTCTCCAGCAAACAAACTAACCATCCTTCCTTTTTTGGAATATTAATTTCTTCAATTGGAGTTCCTCTTTCAGATGTTCCAATAACAAAATCATAAGAAGAATTAATAACTTCTGACAAACATTTTGCTATTCTTAATTTAAAGAAATAAGTCAAAAATTAATTATTTAATTACCTAACAGAATATCCCCAATAAATTCCAGCTTCTTCTCGAATTTGTTTTGGACTAGTTAGGTAGCCTTTCAGTTTTTTAGACCCTTCTGGCTCTTCTATTTTTAAAGTAACTCTTGTATTTGGAGGTATTAGATTTTGTTCACAATTTATTAAAGTAACATCCTTAATTAATTTTAAAAAAGTTTTATAATACTCCACCAAGTTTAATCTTCCCATTTTCTCATTAAAATTCAATTAAAAAATAACAAAAACGAAAATACAGTAACGGTTAAAATAAGTAACGTACACTACACTCCTCATTAACGTATTTTAAAATTGAGTGAACATTAGAGCGTTGCCCTCAATTTTATGTACATCCCAGTTTTACGTCCCCAATAGTGTATGTACAATCAAGATCATCCTTCCCCCTCCCCTTCCTAATTTTTACCCTTTCAAGTCCAACAAAGCATTTTTGTCCTTTTTTTGAACTCTTTTCCAAAACAATTCCTTCTCTATAAGGTAAATCAATATCTGTTGCTCTTAAATGATGCATTGAATCTAGTGGATTTAAAAGACCTTTTAAAAAGTAAAAATAAGATTAAAATTTAAAACAAAATTTACCAGCAAATTGTAAAGAATTGTGAATCGGAAAAAAATTTTTTCTCAAATATTGTGGGCATTCCAAATATTCAAAAACTTTTGCCATAAATAAATTACCTAAAATAAAACAATTTAATAAAAATGAAGAAAATTATATTCCTTTTTCTATTAAAAAATAAAATTTTTAAAGAAAACGAGGTTTGCTCTTCTATTAAGAAGTTTTTATTTTGTGCTAAAAAGAACGAGATTTTTTGACAAAGTTTGTTTTATGGTTAACCCTCAAAAAGATATCTTAACTAAAATATATTTTCCATTACTCCCCTGTAAATTCAGAGGATAAGAGGCTTGAGAATTAAAACAACTTACATTCACAATTATTTGAATTAATAGGGTCTTGTCCGCTCCAATTTCCTTCTTTATATTCATCAATTTGTTTTTGTTTTATTTTCGCTGTCTCATCAAATATAATTATTTCATCAACACAAAATATAGCAAAACTACGGGCTAACTATTTTTAAAAATTAAAATTTAAAATTAAAAACAAAAAAACCTCTCCAGTAATATAAGCCCTTAATTCTTTTGTTTGGACATTATTTAAAATTGAACCAGGCAAAGCTACATTTAATGAATACCAAGTCTCTAAAAATTAATTTTCGAGTAATCTCTCCCAAAATTAATTAATTTAAATAACTTAATACTTTGATTTGCTCTTCTACAATTAGGTTGTTGTTCTTTTATTTGTATTTTTTGTTCAAGTTCTTCAATTGTTTTCTCTTGCTTTTCTTGTTGTTTCTTTTTATGTACTAAAATGAAAAAAAAAACTTTTATTTTTATTTGAATTATTGATAAAAATTAACAAAACATTTTTAGTTAATAATCAATCATTTTTATCAGTAATTAATAAACCACTAAAGAATTTACTCATTTTTTTTAATCTCAACTAAATAATAATTTTTACAAAAATAATTAAAAATTCATACAAAAACGCCAATTAATATATCCTCCTTGTTGATGTCCATTTCTTTTGTTTTTAAGTTTTTTGGTTATTTGAAGACGATCCTTTCTGTTGAACATTTTCTGGAATTTTTTTTCTTTAAAATATTTTAAAATATAAATAAATATATAAAAAATAAATATTAATTTATTTAAAAAATATTTTTAAAAATCAAATTTTATCTTCAAAAAATACCCGAAAAATAAACAAAAATAATTAAAAATTCAACTAAAAATCTTTTTCTATTTTTTAATTTTTCTTTTTTTATCATCAGCAATTAAATAATTAATTGAAGACATTCCTCTATTATTCACAAAATTTTGTATAATTAAAAGAATATATTCAAACAGTAATTTCACCTAAAAATTAATTAAAATAAATATTTTAAAAAGAAAATACTTTTGATTGATTTAAAAAAGCCAAAGTTAAAAGCAAAATAAAAGCTAATCCAAAATAATTTGCTTTAACATCAGAGTCAGTTTTACGATGTTCAGATTGTGGTAAAATTCTAAATTAAAATTTTAGATTTTTTATAAGACTTGTTAATAATCTTAAAGTTTGGACAAAAGTTAAGCCACAACCAGTCAGGAATTTCTCATTACATTCAGGTATTCTACCGACTGATGTGAGTTAGTAACTAATTACCGAAACGATGATAATTATTTAAACTATTTAAACATTTCAAATATCAAATTTGATTTTCACAAGTAAAACGAATTTTGAGGATTGTTTAATAAAAATTTTTAAGACTCCCCAAAATTGTGTAGCCGATGAAAATAAAATTAATAAAAAAGGACAAAAACCTACATTACCTAATTTTTCCTATTGTTTAATTTAAAAAATTTTTTAAATATTGTTACCTAACATAATTAAATTGGGAATTTGCAAAGAAATTGACAGAAACAGAATCCATTTTTGATTGTTTTGAATCAATTAAATCAACAATAATTGAATATTCCTTTAAAAAGTTTAAAAAAATTAATTAAAAAAAATACCCGTTTATAATTAGGAAGATTAAAAACAAATAAAGAAGAATGACTTTTAATTAATTGTTCATTAATTGCATTATTATCTTCTAATAAAACAACTCTAAATCCATTAGAATTTTTTGTTTGCTCAATTTCAATTTCTCCAATAACTATTGGAGATGGACGGTCAGAAGGTAAAATTGAAAAATTTATATCATTTTTATTTTCTGTTCCAACCTAAAAATTTTTAAAAAATAAATTTTTTTAATAAAAATTTTAAAAAATTACAATGAAATTAAAGAAAGAAGGAAAGGCAGGAATACTATCACCTCCTTCAGAATTTTTTAAAGAAATTTGATAATTGCATTGAGGTTTAAGTCCTTTAATTCGAAAATCACCAGAACGTTGATCTATCAAATCTTCTTCCTTAAAAAAATAAAATTGAAAAAGAATGATTGAAATTCAGAAACAATAAAAGAAAGAAATAGTTGAATAGATGAAGCTTATTGTCAGCTTATTATTAGGCAGCCCGCCTCAAATAGATACAAAAAAACAATACTCTGACTTTTAGCCATATTTTAAGAAAAAATCAACAAAAATTAAAAAAAACCTGATGATTTTCACATCCAACAGAAATAGCCTCAACACGAATTGGAAATTTAAATTGTCTACTTCCAATTGTTGAAACTTTTCCAAAAGCACTATAATAAGAGTAATTAAAATTCATTTAAAATTTTAAAAACCTGTAAGCAATTCTTTTTGCTTCCAAAATTAATTCTTTTTCTTCTCCTTCATTTATTTGAAAAGAAAAAGAACTCGAATTAAATTTATATTCTTGTAAAATTGGACGAATAAAATAAGATCCAGGCATCTTTAAAAGAATTATTTTTTTCAAAATTAATTTTAAAAAATCCCCAACCAATCCAATAAATTTCAAAAGTCCAGTTTCGTTTGTAATATTATTTGAACGAAAATTTGATCCTCCACTAATCGAAACTAAAATATCAGAAAGAGGTTTATTTGTCTTTTCTTCCAAAAATTGTATTCGAAGTTGTGTTAATTTAATTGAAGTAAAGCTGTTGGGATAGTCAGGCATTTTAGCAAAAATAAAGCCTTCCTTGATTATTTCAATAGAAAAATCTTCTTCTTTCCAAACAGGTCCAATACTGAAATTTTTTAATTTTTAAGATTTTGTATAAAAAAGGCAAAATATTGGTACCTAAACAAGGAACTAAAAACATGGAGTTAAAAAATAAAACATAAAATTATTTCTCAAAAATATAGTTATTACAACAAAATAAATTTAAAAATTAAAATTCCCAACCTAAACAATCCTTTATTGTCTGTATTAGTTGTCAACACATCACTTTCATCTGTTTTATGTATTGCTTTCACAAAAGCATTTTCAACTAAAGGTTCCACTTTTCCTTTAATAAATTTCCCAATTTGGCTATTAAATGAAGCTACTACACCCTCACATTCCCCATTAAATTCAAAATCCACCAATTTTGGCATAAACAAAAGTTTATTAGATTTTGGCATAAATTGATATTTATTTCCAATTTTAGAATTATTTAATGAAAAGAGAAACATTTTGCCTTTATTTGTTGAATAAACTTTTTGAAGACTTTGTTCTTCATTGGTTGGTTTCTCTCTGAAAAAAATTTAAATTTAAGATTAAGTCAAAGAATTAGTTAGAAAAATTCAAATAAGGAGCAGGCCACCTCACCACAATAACTTCATTTAGACGCAGTGATCTCGCACATCCTTATATTGTTCGATTCATCTCATCGAGATGCGAAAAAAAAACAAAACTTGCAATATTATTTTTAATAAATTTATAGCTTTCGGATGGACAGGGTACCCCTACAAAAACCTTCCTTTATAAAATTCAAAAAGAAACCTTAAATTCATTTCAAGAGTATTATCTTCAACATCAGTTTGAACAAAAGTAGAAACAGAAGAACTTACAGCAGTTAATATTAAAGGAATATTTGAAGGAATATTAAAATATTTTTGTTGTTCATCAATCCCTTCAATTCTAAATTCATGGCAAGATTCAATTGAAAAATAATATTTATTTTCTTCTTTAAAATAAATTTTATTTTCCCCTTCTTTTAATTGAAATTCTTCATTTTTTGGGCTTTCTTTTGTATCAGGCCAATATTTCTTTAAAGAAAATTATTCGAAACAAAATTATCAAAACAAACCAAAAGTGCTGATTTTGATGATTTAATTTCCAAGAAATAACCTTTTTGTATAAAGTCTAACCCTATAATATCATCACCTTCAACAATTATATTCTTTTCACTTTCAACCCACAAAAAGTTTTGTTCGTCAAAGATTTTTACTGAAAATTGGGATAATTTTAAAAAAAATATTAATTTTTATTCGATATTTTGGAATGATGAGGAAGCATGGGAGATGTTTCAAAACTGGAGAGTTAAAATATAGAACTTGAAAGTGTTTCCAAAATCTTCGAAATGTAAAGAAAAATAACGCAAGGATAGAAATTTCGAAACAGCGTTTCGCGGAGATATAAAATTAAAGATCACCCAAATACAAAATTGAACTGTTTGAGCACAAAGCCTAACTAATATAAAATTTAAAAACCTGTATATTTTGATGGTAGCACGTCACTAAAATAATATTCCCCTTTTGTATCAACAAATTCATCCACAATTTCTCCCTGTTCATCAAAAAGTTTTATTGAAATTTTTCCACATTTTTTAAAACAATTGATTGTTCCACTAATTTTTGATTTGTGTTGAGTAAATTTTAATTCGAGAATCGGCTCTTCTTTTAAATCAATTTCCACTTTACTTGGTGAAAGAAGCAATTTAGAAATTGGCTAAAAAAATTTTTAATATTAATTTAATTGTATGTATAAAAACCGTAATTGTATATTTTCCTGGTGTAAGCATCTTACAAAATTTCCCTTCAAAATTTGTTACAACACCATCAATAAAAATATTTTCATCGAGGGAATAAACTTTAAAAGAAATTTTTTCTAGTTCATCGGCAGACAAAATTTGTCCACAAACTGCTATTCTAAATTACAAATTTTTTTTAAATTAATTTATTAAAATCAAAACCTGTTTGGAAAGAATTTAATTAATTTTTTTGTTTTTGAAGAAACATCAAAATTTAATTCATTAAATTCAAAATGTTCTTTTTCCACAGCCAAAACATGCTTTCCAGGAGAAACATTTGCCAAAACAAATTTTCCTTTTTCGTCAGATATTGTATTAAATTCCCCATCCAATTTAATTGTTACATTTTGCAAAGGTGCTTGTTTGGCAGTAAATACAATACCATTAAGGTTAAAAGATTTAACTGATATTGTGACCTAAATTATTTTGATTTGTCTCCATCTAATATAAAATATAAAAGAAAATCGAAAGAAAAATAAGACGCCACAAAAATCATATACATTTCTAATTTAATTAATTGTAAGTATAGCAGGCTATTCAGAAATAACAGAATTTACATCTATGTAATAAATATTAAAATATAAATTCTAATGTTTGTTGCATCAGAAATTATATTTTAATGAAATAAACTAATTTACAAAATTAAAATACCTTCGTCGTTTTAGAATTCATTTCAACAGATTCCTCTTGGAAATTAGCTTCACCAAAATTTAAGACTTTTTGTCCAGCATTAATAATGTATTTTCCTGGAGGCAAACAATTAATTAAAGTAGAGCCGGAAGAATTGGTATTAAATTTATAGAACCATTTTTGACCTTCATTAATGGTAATCGGTTGTTCAGCACTCAAAGGAAGATTTTCAAACTAAAAAGTAAAAAAATTTTTTAAAATATTTTTTATAAAAACAAAACAGAAACCTTAATTTGATTGTCTGATTGTAAAACAACATTTGTCGATAAAAATGGATCTCCTTTTTCGTCCACAACATTAACTTCTAAACTATAACCCTCAATTCGCAAGTCAGGCTTTATTATAAATGGCGTTGTTCCAACCTCAATTTTAATGCTGCCTTGGCTTAAACATTTTGTAGAACCACTGAAGGGTGAAATAACATATTTTCCTTAAAAATTCGAATATACAAGCTTATCAAAAAACAAAATTCATTTCCTTAGAACTCAAGGGAAATAGATTTTTTACCCCTCCGTGCGTCTGTGAAAAATATTTTTAACAAGGGTTATAGATCGAATAATTCTTAATTTAAGAAAATTTTAGTAAGAGGCAGATTTCGACCCTAAAAACTAAAGATAATTTATATTTAAATAATACCTGGCCAAGTAACAAAATTATAATTTCCATCTTTATCGACAATAGTCTTCTCAACTAATTCTCCATTTTCTTGTTTAAAAAGACCCAAAACCAAAGAAGAATCTTCCCCATTTAAAATTCTGCCAGAAATTTTAAGTCCAGCCAAATTAAAATTTAATTCCTCAGAACATCCCCCGTTGCTGCCAATTTCAATTTCATAAAATTTTGGTTCTTTAAAAGATGAAATTTCAAAAAAAAATTAATTAAAAATAATACCAAAAATATATCCATCAGGGGCAATAATTTTAACCAAATATTTTCCTTTATTGTAAATTGGAATTAGAAAATATCCATTTTGCGGATTACATTCTGCCTCATATTTTAAATTTCCTTGGGAAGTAAATAGTTTTACCTTAAAATTTTATTAAATAAAAAATTAAAAAAAATAAACCTTTATATCAGATAAATTAATTTGAAAAGTAGATTTCACGAAACCCTCACAACCAATTACATCGGCTGAGCAATGGTGAACAAAAAATGGGAGAAGAAATAAATAAAGTTTTAAAAGATAAAACATCTACCTAAATATGTCTAAAAAAATTAGCAGAACAATTAAAAGAGTTTAATACTTTAAATTAAAAAATTAATACTCAATAAAATTTTATTAAAATTTTGTTTTTCAAAATAAAATTTTATAACATAAAGTTGAAGAAATAAAATTTTGTCGAGAAAAAATTAAGCCTATAAAAGGGGACACGCCCGATTAGGCGCGGGCCGACTAGGCGCGACCGATTAGGCGCGACCGATTAGGCGCCGGCCGATTAGGCGCGCGGCCAATTAGGCGCCGGCCGATTAGGCGCCAAGCTTTTAAATTAAATATCGAACAAAATGCTCCTCCAAATCCTGAAAATAGATAGATTCGGATAATCCCGGCAAATACACCACCCTCACATAAGTCTTTTGCGGAAAAAAGTTTTTGCCGTTGTGGAGGAAGCCGGGCATGTCGAGCGGAACGACGGCCGCCGCTTCGCTACGGTCGCCGCGAGCGAAGCGAGCACGACCGCAGCGAAGCACGGCCATCGTGTAGCGAAGACCATGCCCGGCCTACCCTCCGTAGCAGCACAAAAACAGTTTTACCAGCGAAGATTCTGTTGGTCATAACTTTGTTCAGAATCATCCAATCGAGCTGATTTTGAGTCTGGTACGTAAACTAGTTAGGCCTGTTTTTTAATTTTGGAAAATTTTTTTGTAAAATTTTTGTTTTATAATTCAGAATTGTCCCATTTGATGATCGATGGGACCATTCTAATTGATTATAATCGAATATATAAAATAAAGCTTGGCGCCTAATCGGCCGGCGCCTAATTGGCCGCGCGCCTAATCGGCCGGCGCCTAATCGGTCGCGCCTAATCGGTCGCGCCTAGTCGGCCCGCGCCTAATCGGGCTGTACCCCTATAAAAGCATTTAAAGTAAACAATCGACGTTTTAACCACTTTTAGCCGAGTCGATGTTTTGACAAGTAAGATAATCTTTTAACGATCTTTTAAGAATTCGACATTTTGACACGTTTTACCCGCATCGATCTTTTAAGAATCTTTTTTACTGATACGCCGCTTTTTAATCATTTTTCTTTTTAATCAGGGTTGCGCCCCGACCCCGACTAACCCCGACCCCGACATTCCCAACCCCGAAAACCCCGACCCCCGAAAGTTCGACTTATTTTTTGTCATTTATACATTTCCGCTTTCACTTTTTACGCTTTTTAAATTTCACAGGGCCCTGGAATTTGAAAAAAAAAATTTTTGAAATTTTTTTGAATTTTTTTGGGCCCTGAAATTTGATAAAAATGAAATATTTAAGATTATCAAAGTTTGAATTTAAAACTTATTGTGCCTTCTATGAATACTCCTTGGTATGTTTCTATATTTTATATACCTATTTATTTTTAAATTACTAGGATTGAAAAATATCGTCCAAAAACTCTTGATGATGTTGTTGGTAATCCAGAAATTATTAAACGTTTAAAAGAATTTTCAAAAACTGGGAATATACCCAATTTAATTATTTCGGTTTGTATTTAATTTAAATTATAATTTTTAAATTTATTTGTTTAGGGACCTCCCGGTTGTGGGAAAACTACAAGTATTTGGGCGTTGGCTAGAGATATGCTTGGTGATAAAGTAAAGGATGCTTGTCTTGAATTAAATGCTAGTGATGAACGGTAAAATTTTTTTTAAAGAATTTTTTGAGTATTTTTCTTATTGCTGCCAAATTAATGTTAGCGAAATCTTTCTTTTTTCATATCTTAAGAGTTCAATTTATTTTTCGTCTCTGATTATTTTTGGTGATCTATTTTGTAAACAAATCATAAGTCAAAATTTTTGGGGTTTTTTTGGGTAAATTTCCCGGAGAAGATTGTGAAATTATTGAAAATTGACTGGAATCAATGCTATTGTTTTTAAATCCTTATCCAAATTTAAATGGATGAAATTTCTAAAATTTCTCTGCCATTTATTTTTCGATACCCACACTAAATTATTTACACCAATTTTTTAATATTTAAAGTTTTCTTTCTTTTTTAGAGGTATTGATGTAGTTAGAGAACGAATAAAACGTTTTGCTTCAACAAAAGTAACTTTGCCTGATAATATTCAGAAAATTGTTATTTTGGATGAAGCTGATAGTATGACTGAAGGAGCACAACAAGCATTACGTAGAATTATGGAGGTTTTTAATTTTATTTTTTTGTAAACTTTTTTTAAAGATTTTCAGTTCGACTACAAGATTTGCATTTGCCTGTAATCAATCAGACAAAATAATTGGTATTTAATTAATTTTGATTTTATTTTCCTATCTGAGAATTAATTTTTGATTGTTGTTGAACTAAAAATTTCCTTAAAAAATTTCGGAGCCTACAAAATAGTCAAATAAAGTTCTTGAACAAGAAATACAACAATTTTCCTCAAAAGAAAATTATAGAAACAATATTTAATTAAAAATTTTTACATTGGAGTTATTAAATCATAATTTAATATCTTCTTTTATTTTAGTTCTTTCTAGACAAAAATTTTATTTAAATAAAAATTTTTAAAAATTTTCAGAACCTCTACAATCTCGTTGTGCAATTGTAAGATTCACAAAATTAAGTGATGAACAACTTTTGGAAAGAATTCATTATATTTGTAAACAAGAAAATGTTAAATTTGTAGAACAAGGTATTCAAGCAATTATTCATACATCACAAGGAGATATGAGACAGGTTTTTTAAAATGTATTTTTAATATGTAAAAGTAATTGGTTGAGAATTTAGATTATATTTTTGATTTGTTTATTAATTCAGGGCTTGTGTATCCCGACCGTAAATTTGGGAAATTTTATATTTATGGTGCTTGTTCTGTAAAATCTTTCTTAGGCTCTTATCCAGTCTGGAAACAATTTTAGTTTATATCCACATATCCATATACCTTTTGTTTGAATTTTGATTGAAATTTACACTTTTCTAACCAATTTTTAAACTTTCCAATTAAATTTTCTGTTTTTTAGGCTTTAAATAATTTACAATGTACAGCAACAAGTTATGGAAAGATTACAAAAGAATTTGTTTACAAAGTTTGTGACGAGCCAAATCCAAGTAGTATAAAAGAAATATTTCAACATTGTGTTGATGGAGAAACAAAGGAAGCTTTTGACATTATTGAAGATATTTACAATTCTGGATATTCTATTGAAGATTTGGTTGGAATTTTGTTTAGAAATGTGGTTTGTTTGTTTTTTTTTAATTTTTTGGTTAAAGTTTAATTAGAGACCTGACTGAGACGAGATCTCGATTCCCGTACGACACTCCAAGTCCGATCTCTAGTTGGGATTCTCCTTACAAGGAGAGTTTGCGAGGTGTCCGAGCTAAAAACGGTCGAGACCGGGCTCATTCGATAGAGAATGTGCCCTTTGTAGCAAGGATTTTTTGCCGTTTTTGCCCGTTTTTTGATCTGGCCAAGATATGGCCTTCCAAAGTCCCAAAATTTGGCATATTTTCCCCCCTTCAAATATAAACTTTAAATAATGCTTTTATTTTGTTGGCGCGGTGGTGTAGTGGTGAGTGTGTCCTTGCTACAAAGGGCACATTCTCTATCGAATGAGCCCGGTCTCGACCGTTTTTAGCTCGGACACCTCGCAAACTCTCCTTGTTAGTAAATAGTGAAAGAGAATCTATTAGTCGGTTATGAGAGGGGAGTTTTATAGGGAAATTTTCCTTATCAACATTATAAATACCCTCATAATTCCGACTTTAATTTATTTAATTTAAAAAATTTTTTTAAAGAAAATTGCTGACATTCCAGAAGCATTACGTATTGAATTTATTATGGTAAATTTTAAAATTTTTAATTGAATATTTTAATTTATTAAACAAATAATCGTAATTCTTTTGATTTTTGTTATTTTAGTCTTTTTTTGGAATTTTTTATTTCAATCCTAAAAAACCCAATCAATTGGTTCGTCGGTTTAACCACCGAATTTTTCGGCTATTTCGGTTCGGTTAAGGTGAAAAAAAATCAAAATTTAAAAGAATTACTAAAGAATTTTTAAATAAAACAAAACTTTTTAAAGGAAATTGGAAAATGTCATTCAATAGTAGCTCAAGGTTTGTCAACAAAACTTCAAATGGCTGGGTTAATTGCAAGACTTTCGAGTATTCAAGAAAAATTGTCTTCAAATTAAATAATTATTTAATATTAAAAACATCAATTTTTGAATTTTGTATGTGTATCCACGGTTGAAATAAAAATTAAAAAAAAAAATTAATTTTTAAAATAAAAAAAATTAATTTACTAAATTTTCCACATTTTTGACTTTCCGTTAATTGAACACAATGTTGGCCATCCCAATTAAAAGTTCCTTTAAAAAATTTTTTTTGGGAAATTAATTGAAAATAAAATTATTAGAAACCAAGTTTTATGTTACATCCTGGGCAGTTTATCTTAAAAAATAAAATTAAAAATAATAATTTTTTAAAATAAATTTTTAGTTTTAGTTCCTCTAAATTCCTATTTTCTTGTTAAAAGTTAACCAGTTTTTCTTCAAAACTAGGAAACATGTCCTTATAAATAATTGTCTCCTCGTTTTCCTCTATTCAGACTATGGACGGGCCGGGATATCCGAAATCCGATCTGACTAATTTTCGAAACTCCGATCTAAATCTGGCCTCTAAACTTGGGAAAAATCTCTCAAAAAATAAATACTTGACTGCGATTCTGAAAAATCTATTGGACATTTGTCTATAAAAATTCAAAATCTTGTAACGAAAACTTTTTTAAGTGATCCCTTCAATTAAAAGATAACACTGTTGGAAATATTCTTTTTTAGAATTTCAAAAATTCCCAAGCATTTAATAATTAAAAAAACCTTTCCCTTTAATTCATCCAACTCCATCCAAACCATTGGAGTAATTAAATATCCAAATTCACAAAAAATATTTTTATTATCAGAAAAATGTTTTAAAACATTAAAATCAAAAAAGAGAATTTTTCTACATTTTTTACAAGAAAATTTTTTTGAAGACAATAAATAAGATTCTTCCAAATTATATTTTGATGTATTATCTAAATTTAAAATTAAAATTAAAAATCATTTAAAATAAAAACCATTTAATTCAAATAAATATCCATTAGAAGCAACAAAATCTCTAAATATTTCTGATTTTTTTAAATTAATTGGGTCTGTAATAAATCCAATTTTCTCAAATAATTCGAGTTGTTTAATAAATGAATTGTTTGGGCTTTAAATTAAAAAAGAAATTTTTTGAAGAAGATGAAGAGCTTTAAAATAATTAGTGTTCGAGACAAATAAATTTTTTTCAATATCAAAAATACCCAAAAAATATCAAGTCGGCAGATTTGAAAAAAACCCTTGCCGAACACTAAAAACCAGCCGACATATTTTTAAAAATTACAAACTAAAAACTGTACAGAATTTTTCAGTCTTTCTGTTCCTTGTTAAAAAACAAAGTCAGAAATTAAAAATTCCCCCACAAAATTTCTTAATTAAAAATTAACGAAAAAACCTCGCAATTGAATGTTTTTCCTTCAAAAAATTAAAAGAATTTAGATAACTCCAATTATTTTTTTTCATCAAAAAAGCAATAATAATTGTGACTGATCTACTTATTCCACTTTCACTTTAATAAAAAAATTTAAAATTAATTTCTTTTAAAAACTTTACCAATGTACAAGTATTGACTGTTTATTTTCCCAACATTTTTGTAATAAATTAAATGTTTTTTGTAAAATATTTGAACTAAAAATATTTTGATTTTCAACGTCTAACATATAAATAAATTGGTAATCAACACCAATTATTCTTTTTTCTAAAGCCAAAGGTTGAGATGAAAGGGTTAAAACTATTTGGATCTAAATAAATAAATATTTATTTATTAGAAATAATCCTTTGAAAAAACTTTAAATTTCTCAATATTTATTTCAGCGGTAGAGAATATATCTCCAATAAAAATACAATCCAAAATTTTGGTTATCATTTTTATAAAAAATTTTTCAAGTGAATTATTTTAAAGTAATTTAATTTTAAATTAAAATAAAAAATGTCAACGTTTATTAAATTATAGAATGAAATTTGTGTAAAAAAAGGCAATTTTGGTCAATATTATTTTTAATCTTCCAAATCAGAGCAGTCTTTAGAAGAAAAAAAACTTTTTCCATTTCGTGTTGGGGTCATTTGAACGTGGACGGTTAACTATAGTGCAGCTTTTGTAGGTCCGATGGTGACTTTTGTCTGTAAATGTTGACTTGGAATATATTAAGAGGGGTGACTGAATAAAGGATTAATTAATGTCTTAATTATATGTACATATAAGCGAACGAAAAAGATTTTAACTTTTAAATAATAAAAATTAAAAAGAAATTTTAAAAATAATTAATTTATATAAAATTTAAAACAGAAAATAAAATTAAAAATAAAATTAAAAATTTTAATTTTATTAATTCCTCCACCCCCACCATTATTTTCATTATTATTTTCACAAATTTCTTCAAAATTCTTTTTTTCTTCTTTTATTTGTTCTGTCCACCAATCTTCTATTTTTTCTAATGACATATTTTGAGTTAATTTTGGCGTCTAAAAAATTAATTTTTTAGTAAAAGAGAAAATATATGTAAACCCTTAAATTAAGATAAACACCAGGGTGGCGCTAGCCCCTCAAAATACGAGACTAACGCCACCCCTGATACACACCCTTGAAAATATTATAATTGAGGATATATCTTTTGAATAGAGGGTGCAGCTTAGGCATTTTCCCCTCACTAATAGTCAAACAGATTTTAAAAGACAATATCTTAATTTGATTTTATCTAATTTTGAGTGTATTCGAGGTTAAACTATATTTATTTATTTAATTATTTACATTATTTATTCTACAATCCAAATTACAAACAGAGCAAAATTTAATAGAACAAGACAATCTAATATAATCCAAATCTTGTAGTCTAACAGTTAATCTTCCCAAAGAATATGCTGAATGATTGAAATGTTTGTATATTGGGGTAGATATCTGTGGTTTTTTAATTAAAATAATTTTTGAATTAAAAAATATTTAAGATATTTTGATTTAATTTTCAAAATATAGGTTTGTACACTAAAAATTACAATTAAAAATTTTATTTTCGTTTATGTCGCTCTTATATTTTTTTCACAAATGAGTCTTTTTCAGTGCAAAATTTATAGAATTTTAAGGTTAAATTTAATTTTTAACCAAAAAAGTCTATTTGTAAGTACTCCTAAAATAAGTACAGATTGGAGATATGTATTAAAAATTATTTAAAAATTTTTTGTTTTATTTAAAATTAAATCTCTTTCCTTTCCATAAAAGAAAATACGAAAAAAATGGAAATAATAAATTGTAGAGGAATATACAGTACGGTGCATATGTTTACGGACAAAGGCTTTAAAAAATTTAAACCCAATTTATTCGAAAAATTGAATTACTTATCGAAATGTATAAAGTAATTTTTATAGCATTTTTTATGCTCTATCTATCGATACAAGTATCGGCTGAAACATATTCGTTTATTTCCAAAAAATTACCCAAATAAATTTATAACCTTAACTTTTGTGGTGCAAATGTTTACGGACAAATTAAATAAACCTAATAATTTCAGAATAGTATGCCAAAAAAAATTTATCGCTACTCCGTAGACATTTTCATTGATATTGAGTAGAAAATAAAAAAGAATGGAGTCTGTAACTTCTTTCTTCGTTGAGATCTCGAATCTCAAAAATCAACGGAAATTTGGGGTACAGTACCTCCATTTCCCGTTGATTTTTAAGATTCGAGATTTCGATGATGAAGTAAGTTAAAGACTTCGTCCTTTTTGCTTTTCTACTCTGTATCGGTGGAAATGACTACAGAAATTTTTGTAGAATTTTTGCACCAACTAAAGTAGGAATATTCGAAGTTATTTAATTTGTCCGTAAACATATGCACCACAAAAATTTAAGTTATAAAATTAATTTGAGTAATTTTTTGTAAATCATAAATGAATTTGATCCAATTGATGTTTCATTAGATAGTGCATAAGAAATACTATCTAAATTATATAATCGGGTTTCATTATAAATTCATTTTTTTCAAATTAAATTAGATTAAATGTTTTCAATGCCTTTGTCCGTAAACATATGCACCGTACTGTATGTATTTCGAGGTAATAAAATCCAAATAATTTAAAAAATTAACCAAAGATTGTTCTCTAGTATATCCATTATTGTCAATTAATTTTATAGGACTTGTCTCACTACCTGCCCAACAATCAAATATTTTCATAATTAATTTATCTGTTGTTCTAATACATCTCCACAAAAAACAAATTTGTTCCTTTTTTAAATTAAAAATTTTTTAATGAATAATTTTTTGTGTAGAATTTTTAGAGGTTAGGATCAGTAAGTGGAATTTTGAAATTTGGTCGTACTCGTACACAGGTACGAGTACGACTTTTGGTACGAGCTTCCAACAACTGGTTAGGATAATTCTTATACTGTAACTATGTAGATAGTGTCTTATGTGGACGGTGTTTTGTCCTTAAACGATTATTATTAGTTATGTATATATTTTTTGTTTTTTAATATTTTAGTAATTAATTACCTGCCAACTTATTTTATCATTTTGTTTAATTTTTGGTCCTCTACAGTCTCCTCTATGTAAAACTAAAACACATATTGGTTTATTAGTTAAATTTTTCTTTAAACTTTCATCCTTTTTAAAATAATTAATTTTTTTTAAATAAAAAGAGGAAAAATAATTTGTAAAGAAGAAGTGTGGAAATTTTTTTTTAATTTTTTGATTAAAAAAAATTTTTCTTTTAAATAATTTTCCTTTTAAAAAATGTTTGAGGGGATTTAGACAGTACAAATTTCTTGGCTTTTTTTAGAGCAAAAAACTTTGAAGATTTTTAAAAATCCAAAACTCTTCTTTTTTTTAAATAAACTAAATAATTATTTACCTCAATAAAAACTTTAACAGAATCAACAATAATTTTAACTTTTTCAATTACAATATTAGAAAAATGAGAAGAAGAAAAGGAAGAACATTTTGTTGATGACAAATAAATCTTTTTATTTTTTTAAATTTATTTAAAAATAAATAAATAAATAAACTTACCAATATTAAAAGATTAAAAAATATTAAAAACATAAAAAATAGTAAATATTTTTTAGAAAGATAAAGAAGGAATATATGTATTTATATTTTTAACAAACAAAAATAAACTTTTTTGTTTTTAAAGCTCAGATGGTGCCGAAAAGTACCTTGGGGAATTTTTGAGAAATATTGGAGAGAAAAGGAAAGAAGAAAAGAAGGGGAATTTGTACATAGTTTTTTAACTCTTCCAATTATAAACAAGAATAAACAATTTTTGTTGAAAAATGACTGGAAATTATTATTTGAAAAAGAGAGAAAATTTAAAGGCAATTTTAAATGATTTATTTTTTTGGTATTTTTTTAAACTTTTTTTTGTTTTTTTAAATAAAAATATATTTAAATTTAATTTAGTAGAATATTATTTTTAAAAAATTAGGAGATATTTTTTGTTAAAATATTTAATTTAATTTATGTAGAAGTGTGTTTAACCCAAATTTTTCCCAAATATCCGGAATGCCACTCTCCCTAAACTTTTCGGTTCTGGGACAGAAAAATCCTTTGTTCTTCGGTTTTGTAATAATAACTGTACTTTAAGGGTGAGAAATAATGTTTGTGTTTACCACCAAAATATACCTTTCTTTACATTATTCGAAAGTTTTTAATATCTGACACATTTTGGCGTTTCACAAAAATTAAAGTCACTAAAATATTATTAGATAAAATGGATTTATTTGGATATACAAAATCCGGTTAAATGCTTAAAATTTTCGAGCATTGAAAACTTAAAATTCTGAGACACAAAAATCCCTAAATTTTATTTTTTAAATTTAAACAAAGAATTCTTCCTTCCTTTCAATTAAGACAAACAAATTATTAAAAAAATTTTTTATTAACCTAATCCATCTTTTTCTTTTAAATTTTTGTTGAAATTTAAGAATTTAATATTAAATTAAGTTATAAATATTTTTATTATTTTTTTTAATTTTATCCAACAAATCCCTTCCTTCCCCTTCCCTTTTCAACAAACTTGTCATCAATTCTTTTTTTAAACTTTTTTTTTAATTTTTAAAAATAAAGTCGGTAAAAAGAAAAAAAGTAAAGAAGAAGAAGAAGAATCTAAAAATTTTCGGCGTGCTTTTTTACTTTTTGGGGAAAATTTTTGGCTTTAAATCCAAGCCATCATGGCCAACATGTGGGGGAAAGGAAGGAAACAACCTTCTGTTGCTCTTTTTCTGGATTTATGGCCAATGGCCAGTTTACTGCCCTCTGAACCTCCTAAAGGGGGTTATATATCTATCAGTTTTCTGACGCCCTCCTCGAGAGTTGAATAAAAAGAAGGGAGAAGAGAAGGATTGAAAAAGACTAATGGGAGGGGGGGGAGGGGAGGGGAGGGGAGGGATATAAAAATTAATGGAGAGAGAAAAGAAGGGGGGTTTTATTATTATTTTTAGGGGTGAACAGAAGTACAAATAGTGAAAAGTAAGGATTTAATTTAGAAAAGAGATATTTCTCTGTTGGAGGTTTTAGGGAATAATCTGAGCAAGTTATGATGAGGGCCAAAAAAGAAGAAGAAATGTTTTTTCTAGGGCCAGAAAAAATATTTTCGGGCACTCATTTTTTAAAATAAATTTTCTATAAAAAATTTGCTGTAATTCAAAATTATTCAAAACTCTGAGCAACATTCGATTATTTTAGTTGCAGGTAAAAGTTTGTAGGTTTAAAGGTTCTAAAAACTGAATCTCATGTTTCTATAAAAGAATAGGCTTCCGTAACCTTCAGAATTTTTACTTTTGTCAATGCATTCCAGTACAACAATATAGGAAAGGCAATGAATGATCTAATAAAGCAGGAGTGTAACTTTTAAAGGAGAAAGAATGTTTATTATTAAGCCAAACTTGGGGCTTAATATTTTTGTCATCTCAGGATTTTTTTTAAAAAGAGAGAGATTTATGTTTTTAAAAGTGAGAAGAAGATTTACAGGGCCCACCAAGAAAAGAGAGAGGTGATCACTCATAATTCTTTTTGTGTGTTCCTCCTCGTATGCAACACACAATCCAAGTAATCTATCTAATATATCACCTTTCCATACTCTTTCCACTCATCAACAACAAAAACTTTTAATTCTTTGTCCAATTTCCGCCCTTAAAATCGTCAACTCATCCTCTAAAAACAAAAATATATTTTTAGATAGATTGCCCCCTTTTCTTAAACCCTGTGGCGCGTCACTTTATTACTTGCTAGATCGATTTCAGGAAGGATTTTTAAATCCAAACTTTTTTATTTTCTTTGCTTATTGATATTTTTATCCAAAATTATTAGTTTTTGATCAAAAAATAAATTGTATTTTGATTTGTATATTTTTAAAGTTCCCTATTATTAGACAATAAAGCCTCCCCCAGATTTCAATAACTTGTAACTGTATTCCATTATTATAGTAGAGTCAAATAGAGAACAGACAGAACAAATTTTAGAGAGAAATCACACCTTACTTTTATATATCCGAGAATGAGGAATTATAATTTATATCTCTCATCCTCTTTTAAGAGGATATCTTTTAAGGGATAATTTATATGTACATTAAATAAGGGTAGTAGGCGGCAGGGCTGGATCCGCTTCCGCCTTCCGTCTGCTGTCTGCCGCTTTTTTATTCAAAATTCTCCAGACCTGGTAGGCAGCTCTCATTATTTTAAATTAAAATACTTTCTATTAGACACCTAACTCTAATAATTTCTAAATTAAAAACCGCTAAAATTTAATTTTTTTCTTTTCAGAATTTCTACAAAAATTGGGCAAAGTTATTATTTAATTAAAGGCAAAATGCGTAAACGTTCTAATCGTTTACCTGTTTTGTTAATTGTTTTGGCTGCTTTTATTTTTATTTGTATTGCCTGTTTATTTATTTGGTTAAAAAATAATAATAATTCTGAAAATAAATTTTTGAAAGAAAAACAAGAGGGGGGAAATTTAAAGAAAATATATCCAACAACAAGTCAAATAAAAGAAACAACAAAAACTACAACAGAAGAAAGTATTGAATTAACAGGTAATTTTTAGAGGATGAAAGTGATCGTTTAATTGAAAATGTTCTTGAGATATAGTATATGCATATCAGGGTGGCCTTTTCCAAATCACCAAAAGGGGACATGGGCTCGCAAAAAGCGGGAAAATGCCTCCCAAATGTGGCAAAAGGGCTGCCCTGATATATATTTATCTTTGGGCTGGTACCAGATCTCTAGTTTCTCTAGTATCTCTACCTCGAAGCTGACCGATCTCTAGTTATCTATAGAATTATTTGAAATTTATGATGCGTTGAGGGAAATCTTTTTCGGAATTGTTGATTTTCTTCTTTTTATCTCTAAAAGGATTAGCATTCTTGCAGATAGGGTAGTTTTTGTTGCAGAGCTTTTAAAATAATTGTGGCCTGTAAATTTTATTTGTTATTTACAACTGATGAGGATATTATGGAGGGATTTGAATCTTTTCCATTTTTCCCAAAAATTAATTTATTCAAGATTCTTCAACATATTCTACAACAATAACAGATTTATTAAAAACAGAAGAATTCCAACAACAACAAACAACAGACACTACATCCCCTTCTTCTTTTATGGAAGAAATTGTCGAAAAACCTCAATTAAAACATATACCTATATGTCCTGAACCACCACTTGAAGAAATTAATGAAATAAATGAATGCGAAGGAGGAGGGGAAAGGTAAGGGAGGAAAAGAATTTATTTTTGTTTAAAAATAACAATTTTATTAAAAACAATCGAGAATAACAAACAAAACTAAAAATCGAAATAAAATTTTTAATTGAAATTTGAAGGAGGGAGGGTTCTTTGTTAGGGAGTTCTTCGATTTCTCTTTACTTTTTAGTTCCACATTTTTAATTATTTTTTAGTTTTACTGTCACATATATTTAAAAAACATGAAAAAATGCTAATAAGAATAATTCTGAAAAATAAATTAAATTATTTACAAACAAATTACATCTCATTTCTAATTAATTTTTTTAATTTTTCACAGTAACCCACAACAAAATGATTATTTAAATCAAAATGACATTCTTCTTCAACCTTTTGAATATTTTTTAAATATTTCTTTGCCAAATAATAACGAGAATTTAAATTTCCAATTAAATTTATTAGCTGAATTACAACAAAAAAGCAATATTTTATTTTTAAATTATGGAAAAGAAATGGGAATAATTAATGAAAATGAAGTTGGTAGTGTTTTTAAAATAGTAATTCTGACAGTATCTCCGTTAATTTTTGAAGGGACAATTTACCGTCAGATTTTTCACCAAAAATCCTTTAATGAACAAATAAAATTAATGCGAAAATATGAGAAAATTTTATAAAATTTGTTAAAGAAGAGACTTCCACTAATTTAAAGAATAACAATCAATTCTAACATTCCACCCCAAAACAACCCTCCAAATTCTCCAGATTTTCCTCCAAAAATAATCCCTTTTTTCTTCCCTCCAAAAATTAATTTAAATTTTAGGTGCGTATTTGGAATTGTCAAAAATCTCGTTTTGTCTGTATTAATTCAATAATTAGACAACTAGACAATCAAAAATTAATTTTTAATTTAAAAGAATATTTAGAATCCAAAACAATTCTTCGATTTTATTTTTTTAATTTAAAAATTCCCCTTTCTTCCCAAAAACTTTTAGTCCAAATTCCATCACCTTGGGAAAGAGAAAGAGCTTGGATGTTGGGAAATAAATTATTTTCTGATAAAAATAATATTTCTTCTTATTTATTTCCGTCAATTGAAGATTCAGAAAATATTCGAATTGTTTTTCATTTGTGTTTATTTCATCCACAAGATGTTTTTGTTAGGTAAGTGAGTATGTTTTAATTATTATTTGTTTTAAGTGTGTAGTAGTTTTGGTGTAGTGGTAAGGTGTTAGATTTGTTTTTTGTAGGGGTTGCGGGTTCGATTCCTTTGGTCAGATTTCTATTTTTTTAGTTATTTTTTGTTCTTTTTAATATTTAAATAATTAAAATATTTTAAAAAACAATTTTTAAAACATTATTTTCAGAAGCAATACAATAGTAGAAAATATTGGCTCATCAACAAAAAATGGAATATTAAAACAACAAAAAACTTGTTTTAAAGAAACCCCTCCAATACCTCAATCTAAATTTACTTTTCTTTTATTTCGAAATCTTCAATCAGTCCCTCCTCCAGAAAATGTTAAAAATGGAAAATTTAACAAAACTTTTATTGAATTATTTATTGGTGCTCATTTAAAGGTAAATAACCGTTTTTAAAGACTTTTTACATAAACCCTCCTAGAGATGAAACAAAATTGGTAGATCCCTTTTCAAGTTTTTATCCCCTCCATGCAAGTTAAAAATTCTTTAAAGAGTACTTGGGTATACTTCTTATCCCCCTTTCTATTTCCCTCAGATTTTTGGAGAGTTCTCTCTTTTCTCCTTTAACTTTCTTAATTTAATTTTTTAAATTAGCCAACAGACTATACATGGGCTATTGAAGAAAGTCAAAGAACAATGAAACGAATGACTGAATTAACAACCACAGAATATCCATTACCCAGGCTAACGGTTAAAAATAAATCTAAATTTAACTAAATTTTTCTAAATTTTTTTAGATTGTTTCTTCTCCATTGGGTGCTGGAAATGATGCAATGGGAGGTTTGGGACTTGTACAAATTAGAGATAGTTGGGTAAGGAAATTTATATTTAATTAAAATGTAAAAAGTTAAATTTATTTTAAATTTAATTTTTGAATAAAGATTAAATTTTGACGGGAAATTTAAAGAAAGATACTCCCTACTTATAATTATAGAGAATTAAAGTTGTTGGCGACTGATTATTAACCGGTACTTCTTGTTTTCGGTTCGGTTAACCGATCGTCATCAGCCCTACTTTTCTAATTTATCTATGACATATTGGACTATTAGAACGTTTCGTTAAAACATTTAGGTGAGAGGGAAGAAGGATTGATTTAACAAAAGGGTTCAATAGATTCAATTCCTGCCCAATACTTTACCAAATATTTTAATAAAAACTATTTAAAAGGCTTTTTAAAAAATAATTTATTTTAAAACAGATGGAATACCCCAAATTTGTATATACACATAATTTATTAGTCGGCCAAATAGTTCAACAATGGACTACCAATTTATTATCTATTTGTAACCAATGTACTCAAAAAGGAATTTCTTTGTTTTTGGAGTGGATATTGGCCTCGGAATTGTCAGAAAATGAAAATGAAGAATTTGGGAGACGTGTGGATGAAACAAGAAGACGATTATTTGGGGGAGGAGGAGAAACAAATTTGGGAATTGTTGGGGTAAGGGAAGGGCTAATTTTAATATTTTTTTTGTAATTTCACCTGAGTTTGTGGACTAGGAAAAAACAGGAAATACTCTCGAGAGTTAAAATCTGAAATTTAGAAACTCCCAAAAAATTTTTGTTTCTTAGCCAGCCCCTTTACATAACAATTAAATTATTTACATTCCTATTACTTTTCTTTATAAAATAATTTTTTTAATTTTAAAAAATTAAATTTAAAGTCAACAAATCCAGCAATTAATCAACAACAATGTATTGAAAGATCAGCATTTTCTCTTTATACTCTGGATAGTACTTTTGGCAGAGAAATTATTACAAAATTTTTAAATTTACTTTTTTCTAAATATTCTTGGGTATTTAAATGTACAACAAATTCTGAACTTTCAAAATTATTTTTTGAAGCAAGTGGAGGAAATAAACAAATGCGTGGGCAATTTAATTTATTAATTAATTTTAGCCCCTCTTTTTCTTAAAAAAATTTATTTTTTAATGGGAGACGGGAAACAACAAATGAGGGGTTAAAAAAGGTGTGGGAGAGGGGAGAGGGAGAGAGCAGATATGCTATATGGCGATGGGGGAATTCTGTTGTGTATTTAGGCCCTTTAACGGCTTAGTTATCACTCTTTATGTTATTGAAACGAGATCTCGAACAAAAATCTCGGTTATTCTATATTTTTTGAGATATCTCGTTCGATTTTTGTACTACTTTCTCAGTCTCTACTGTTAATATCAATATTTTACCCTTCTTTCCCTTTCTGCATGATTCCGGACATAATTTAGGTATTTTTGTAGAGAGCCTTCCAAAAGAGTTTCGGGGACTATTTAATCTTCCAAAAAATTATTTTAATTAATTTTCTTATTTTTTCAGAAAATATTTTTGATTCCCTATTTAATTCAAAAATCTATTTAACACCATTAATTCGAATTAAAGTTTTGCCTCTTTCTTCAATTTTAAATATTGAATTAAATAATAATTTAACAACAAAAAATATTCAAATCCCAATTGAAGTAATTGATGATACTGGGAAAATAAATAAATTAATTTTAAATTCTTCACAAATAATTACAAAACTTCCAATTATTGTTTCTGCTTTTTTGGTTGCTAAACCTAGCAGTTTTGCTAGGTTTTTATATAATGTTTGTTTTGGATTTTAAATAAAAAATGAAGCAAATTTTTCTAGTCATTGTAGGGGGAATTACTTGGGCGATACTCCCTCAACAAGGAATTTTTCAGCCCCAAAGGTGTAATGTTCAATTATATATTTGAATACATTCTCGAGGAAATTTCTGATTTTAAGTAAAATTTTTGGATTAGAAAAGTAAAATTCTTTAGAAAGAACAAAAAAGAAAAATGAGGAAATAATTAATGAAATAAAAATAACCAAGTATTTTTCAAGTCAGAAAATGTTTCGTTTTTTAATTTTTTTATTCTTTCGATTTTTAAAAGCGGCAAGGCTTATTTATCCCTATTAGATATTGTTGAAATAAACGTTTAAAAAATTCTTTTAATATTTGTTATAATTTTCTTAAATTTAGGTAGAGAATTATATTCATTTAATTGAATGTCTTGAACCAACAAAATGCCCTTCAATTAAGCAAATTTCAGTAAAAGATGCATTTGAGGATCTCTGTTGGTAAGAAAATATTTTTATGTCGCATGACGTAAAAAATCAAAGCAATTTTATTGTAGGGGATTCTTTGGGAGGTATCACGACTTTTGCGCCGAGAACATTTGCGCCGCGACTTATGCGCCGCGACTTTTGCGCCGGGCGACTTTTGCGCCGAGACTCTTGCGCCGCGACTTTTGCGCCGGGCGACTTATGCGCCGCGACATTTGCGCCGCCATTGTTTAGAAAATCCGGATCCGAAAAATGCCGGATATCCGAAACTTTCAGTTCGGATATCAGATCCGAAGATTTCCAACTATTCGACAACCCTACTAAAGTGAGGTCCGGCTGTAGTTATTGATATATTTTTAATGATAGTGGCGGCGCAAAAGTCGCCCGGCGCAAAAGTCGCGGCGCAAAAGTCCCCCGGCGCAAAAGTCGCTCGGCGCATAAGTCGCGGCGCAAAAGTCGCGGCGCATAAGTCGCGGCGCAAATGTTCTCGGCGCAAAAGTCACGGAACCCTTTGGGAGGGTTTAAATTTTAAATTGTTTCGATTCATACCTTTTTACTATTCTTTTTAAAAATTTCCCCAATTTATAGGGCACTTCTTCAACAAAAATTAAATCCTTTAGAAGAAGAAATTCCTAAATGGAAAGAATTATTCAAAACTTTAAACAGTAAAGGGGCTGTACATAATGATTGTGCTTGTTGTATGCAAACAGAAACTGAGGCACTTAAAAGTCATTGTAGATGGACTTGGTTAGATAAATGTAAAAAAATAAAAATGTTAAATTAAAATAATTAAATTAAAAAATATTTTTTTGAATTTTCTCAATTTTTATTTCATTATTTCCTCATGTTTCTTTTATTTTTCTAAAGAATTATTTGTTACTTTTCTAATTATGTATAAAAATAATACTCTAGAGAGTAGATCTACATTTATATTTTTTAAATACAGCATAATTTAATGAATATTAAAACTTGAAACACATGGAGCTAAACTTTTAAATATTCCAACGACGAGGGATGTTGTTCCAAGAACGGAGGAATTTGACAATGATAGTAAATATCCAGCTGCGGCCTGCATGTACACAAAAACCCTCATATATGGCTCATTTCATAATTTTCATATAAAAAAAGCAAAATATACCCATACCTATTTATACAAACAATTAAATAGTACACTATTAAAAAACATTCGAACAAATAAAATTAAGTGAAATAACCGGGAAATATTAAAAATTAGCATTATTATAGTTATAGTGAGAGAGAGAGATCTTTTTTGTTTAGGTGATTCGTTAGATATATAAATAGAAAATATTCACATTAAGGAAAAAAGAAAAGGGAAATCCTAATATTTTTATTTTACACATCTCTCCTTATCCAATTTTGGAATTATAAGAGGCGTAGTTTGACAAAGAAGGGCGACGTCGCTTCGTATTACCTTTAGAAGTAGAAGACGGGGAGAACCACTCTAACAAAGCACATTGATAAATGTTCTGAAAATCAAGGAAAGATTAGCTCAAACAATCTAGTACAATCGAAACTCAATTTTGGATTCCACTTTGGGTCCGAAAAGTAGAAAATTATGAGTGGTGCATTAAATTATAAGTTTGCTTAGGCAGCCCTTACCACCCAGAGACCAACTAAATTTCAAAAAATCGTAATACTAGTAAAATGATATAACTAGTAAAATGATAATAGCCCATATTGGACAATTTATAAGCGAGATCTGACTGTAATAGCAAATCACCCCCAAGCCTTACTTTTAAATGTCTTCTTAAGCTAATTAACTTACCGGTCGATGTTTAGGGTCAAAAGTCATCATTTTGTCAATGGCAGATTTGCATTCAAAACTAAGACCCAATTTGGACGAATATCGATAGCGTCGATGCCGTTGAGCATCAACAATATCCATGTTGTCAACATCCTCACGGAATGGCATTGTATTGGTAAGCATTATGTAGCCAATAACACCCAAAGACCTACAAATAAAATAAGAAACTGGAAAAACGCCAAAAATTTCTAAAACCAAATATCAGCCTTGAACGTGTCATAAGTGACACCACGAAGAATTTCCGGTGCTGAATAAGATTTTGAGCCACAGAATGTGGAAGCTAGATCGATACTTTGTTTGCAAAATCCATAGTCAGCAATTTTCAGAATGCCTCCCTCAAAGAGAAGAATGTTTTCCAGTTTGAGATCTCGATGAGCAATCTCTTTTTGGTGGATGTAGACAAGAGCATCAATAAGCTGGAGCATCCATCCACGGCTTGAAACTTCAGAAACTGGCCCTTTGCTTTGGACATACGAAAGCTAAAATGAAAGGAAATATTCCAAAACAACCCAAAAAGTAACCATATCCCCATCTGTGGCTAACTCCATAATAGAGAACTGATAACCAGCCCTTTCAAAATCCTTGTAGAGGTACACGTGGTTCTTGTGATCCAGTTGCTTCCAAACACTCAACTCGCGTGGCAAAAACTTGTGCCTAAACTCGGCTGATATTTGCTCTAGATCAATGACTTTAATTGCAAGAAAGCGTTCCCCGTCCCTATAGTAACCTTTGTAGACTTTGCTGTAGCGGCCACTGCCCAATTTGTAATTACCAGAGAACTCGAAGCCGATTCGTGCCAAAATGTGTTTTGGAGAAGAGCGAGACTTATGCTCCATACTGTAAATGAGGAGTTAAGAATGGAAAAATATAAAGAAACGATACCTGAGAATTGACGAGCAAAAATAAGAAAAAAGTTAGCAGTTTTGTAATAAAAATGTGTTTAAATTAAGAAGAGTGAAGCTTAAATACTCTCGAGCTTTTCTAAAAATGTATAAGCCAAAATCTTAAATTATTTGAAGACCGTACTTTTACAAAAATTAACATAATGCCAAATTTATAAATCAGAATGCCAAATTATTAATTTTCAAATATTTATGTGACTCGATTTCCATGTCGACTTTTTAATATTTTTTTGACTTTGTTGTATAACGGATAATGACATCTTGTGTTGGATATGCTTGGCGATATTTGGAACAACGTGCAGCACAAAATTCATCAACACAACCACCTAAACGTGAATATTCCTTTGTTGTTGAAAGTGATGAAGATGATGAATCTTTGTTAGGATTTATGAAAAATGTAGTGACACATAAAGAATTAATTCCTCCGCCTACATATTTATCAGACCATAGACAATTACAAATAAGAAGAAATCAAATTGCTGGAAGAATAAATGTTGGGGGTGTTTCTTCTGACCCTAACTCAACTGGACTTCCGAGACAAAAACAAAATACTGACGTTGCGATGACTGCAAATGCTTTTTCTGATTTGGTTTTTTTATTTCTAAATTTTCTAAATTATTTCTCTTAAATTTAGGATGCTATAGCTGAAATGGGTGCTGGTGCGGATGATCAAGATTCTCAGTCACAAATTAGTGGGCAGAATACTCCTTGCCTTCCACATTTTAATAGTGATTGTCCCCAAATAATGACGCAACAACCGCAGGCCGTAAATCAGTCAACAAAAGATTTTGACCAAAGATTGAGTCGAATAAATCAAATTAGTGGAATTCAGCAACAAAATTCCTTACTTCAACTTTCGCCTTTAGAGCAACAACGAATGTCGGCATATAGACAACAACAACAAAAACTTTTAGCTGGTGTTAGTTCTTATAGAATGATGGTAAAATATTTAAATTTTTGAATTTAATTGCTCTTTCAAAATTGAAAAAAACTGTTAGGGGTTCTTCAAAAAAATTTTTCCTTAAAACGTCCATTTAATTCAATTTAAAGCTTCAGGTTCCATTTTTATTTTTTAGCAACAAAATCAATCTATTTTGCCCCAATCTGGACCAGAAGTCTTTGATTTTGATGACTCTTCTAATTTTACGGGAGCTATTAATAGTCCATCCTATCAGTCTCCAGGTGGCCGCTGTCGTGGTAGAGGAAGACGTGGTGGTGGAAATGTTGGGGATAGACAACTTTCTTTTTCTTCATTAGAAACTGAAAGTACTCCAGCTTCTCCTTCAGATTTTCCCGGGAAAAAACGAGGTTTTTAAGAATTTTTTTAATTTTTGAATAAATTTTTAGGCGTTTCTGGACAAAGAAAACCAAGAAAACCAAGAACAAGAGAGATTGCTTTGGCTTCTGATGAAAAATTGGCATTTTCTTATCAACAGGTTCCTTTCCAAACTCCACCTTACCAACGACAACAATCAGTACTTCAGCAACAAGTTTCTATGTCTGGACATCTTAATTATAATATTTGTAAGCACAAATTTTTTTTAAATATTTGAAATATTGAAATTTGTTTTGTTCGTTTCTTATTTCAAGTTTTGACAATATTTAATTTTATTCCCTTTTAATTAAACCGCAAAGACAAAATAAGTAAGTTTTTTCCAAAAAAATAAACTCCTTAATCAGTATATTTTTGAGTTTTAATATAAGGAGTTGGCATAATCAAGTAATGTTTTTTAATTATTTGTTTATTAAATAGATTGCTTTAGCTTTGTTTGGGTTTTCATTTAGGTTCATATTTTGATCTCATCATGTTAAAAACAGCTTAAAAGGAAACTTTTTTTTATTTTTCTTTTATAATATTTTAATAAAAAAATTTTTTTAAGCTTCAAACGAAGAGGAAGTTCGTTCAAGAATGATGACTGAATATGAAATGGCTGCCTGTGAATCATTTTCCTCTGACGAAGAAATGGATCCTCCACCCCCGCCAAGAAATTTGCATCGAGAATCAACTGAAACAGAAAAGGACAATCAACAAGGAGAAAAATCAAAAATTAAAGCAAAACATTCTGGCTCTTGCGAGTCTCAAATGGATGAAACCAGTCAACGAAAAACTAATGAAGAGTTTTCTTTGGCAGAATTTTCGGTTTATTTTTATTTATCGGTGGAAAAATTTGTGATGCGTTTTTATTACATCACAATAATTTTTTCCGTAATTCCTAGAGATTTTCGATTTTACAATTAAGGGAATTTACAAAAAAAAATATAATTTTTGGATGTCAAAAATTTTTTTCGAAATTTTAGAAACAGCAAATACCGTCTTCATCAAATAATCAATCATACGAAAAACCGCAACAACAGAAACAACATTTAATTAATTCTCAATTAACTTCAACAACCTCTTCTTCCTCTTCAAATTCTGCTTCTGTTGCTTCTTCGCCGCCACAACAACGTCAATCAGAATTAAATAATTTACATAAAATTAGTGGAGATTTTTCAAAAGATTCGAGAAAAACTTCAAAAACTTCTTTAAAAGAAATTGAAGATTTAAAAGAGATTAAACAAGAAATCAAAATAAATTCGGCAAAAAGTTTTAGCCCTTTTCCTGAATATTATTTTGAAGATTCTTCTACGCAAAATATAAAGGTTTTTTAATTTAAAATTTTGAGGATATATTTTTGGGCAGTTTTCGGCTCCAAACTATACATTTGTTCGATTTTCAGAAAGTTGGTGATCGAGTCTGCCCATACGTCTTATTTCCTGTCAAAACTCTTTATCTTTTCGGCCTAATTTATACATCGAAAATAAACCAGAAGGGATGTAACACCTATTTTTGGTATTTCAAGGAAAGAAGCCCGGGGATGATATTAGGATCTTGCCAAGTTTCTAGGTTCCCTTTTCCCTTTTTTGGTTTTGTAACATTTGAAATTTTTCGAGTATTTAAAATTTTAAATAAACAAGGCTTATTTAGTTAATTTTTAGAAGGAATATCTAACAGAATCAAAAGAAGAAGAAAACAAAAATAAAATACTACAGCGACAACCATCAGTAACAACAATAAAGCCAGCAACAGAAGTAAAAACAAAAAATAAAAATTCGAAAATAAAAGAAAAAGAACCTAAAAAATTATCAAATCAATCATCAACGGAAGATTTAATAAATAAAAAAGCAAAAATTGTTTTAAAAATAAAACCACAAAGAGAGGGGGGAGGAGGAATACAACAACAGCAATCTAAAATAAATACAAATAATTCTTCATCTTCCCCTTCTTCCTCATCTTCGTCTTCAATTTCAACATCAATAAATATTTCACAACCAACAACAACAACATTTCAACAAGCAATAGAGCAACAACCAATAGCAAGACTTTCAAGTAGTGGAGCCCCTCCATCAAAATTTAAACAACAACAACAAAAAAGTGGAGGAATTAAAAGACCTGCAATTGAAGAAATTATTGAAAATGTTAAATTAAAGAAAAGTAAAAAAGAAGGAAAAAATTCCCCAACACAACAATTAAAACAACAACAACAATCAAATATAAAAAATGTAAAAGAAAATAATAAAAATAAAGAAGCTTTTCCACAAATAGCGGCAACTCCTTTTCCTAGTTTAAAAAATTTTAAGGTAAATTTAATGATTTTTGATTTTTTAAAGATTGATTTGAAATATAAGACAGTAATGCGAAAATAAGTTCTATTTTTTGGATGTTCTGTATAGAATTTTCTATTTACTTATTAAATTCTACTGTTTTATCTTTTTCTTTAGATACCAAAAGTAGTAGAAACAGACCCAGCCCCTCCTCCACCACCTCCTCAACAGCAACAAAACTTTTCACAACCAAAAACAGAACAACAACAAAATCAAAGAAATTTTTCTGGTGAAGGAGGGGGGAGAATAAATAAATATTCGACAGAATCTTCCTCAAATAATCCTTCTTCTTCATCATCATATGGAGGGGGAGCAGGAGATTATAATAGTAGAAAATATGGAGAAAAGAAAGGAACAACAACAACGGCTAATAATTGGGATACTAAAACACAACAACAAACTAATTATTTACCTCAACATATTAGACAACAAAAAGGGCCAGTAAAGCCTAGCAAACATCCAAATGTTAATGATTCTAATCGAAATAAAAAATTCACTGGAGGGCCACCAAACCCGCACAATGAAAGGTAAATGTATTAGAAAACTTGGTTTAAGATTAATTGTTTTAAATTTTAATTGGCTGATATTTGGGACAGCCTAAATGATACCCTTTATTTTAAAGGCCTCATTATAGAGTTTAAGGCCTCATATAGAAAGAGTGTATCTTCTGACTATATTTAAACAAAAACTTTAGAAGAGGCCATCCTCCTTCTGGCCCTACAATCAATAGAACCCAACAACAGCAACCTTCCCAACAACAAAAATATTACTCTTCTACTCCTCAACAACGTGATATACCTAATTCCGGTTTTTCTCAAAATTGGCAATCTTACACAAATCAGCAGCAGCAACAACAGTCACATATTCAACAAAATCCTCAAATACTAACATTTTCTTCACAAAGAAATTGGCCAACAAATCAAATCCCTCAAGGACGCCCTAAAACAAATATTTTGAGGTATGAAGTTAATTTACCTCAACAAGCTGGAAATTCTCCTCAAGTTGATGATGGACAACTCCAAATAGTTGATGAAGAATAAGAAAATAATTTTTTAAATTTTGGATTTTAAATTTGATAATTTTGTAATTTTTGGTAGTTTTCTATTAAATATCTATTTTTCCTATCAAAATATTTGGACATTGTATTAAAAAATTAAGTGGGGTTGATCAAAAGTGAGATTGTTAAAACTTTAACCCTCCGATACCCACTACACCAACGTGGAAACCCTTGAGGGGGTCATGAAATTGGTGTCTGAATGATTGTGAAGTCGAAAATTTTCGCCTGCTCTTTAGAAGTATGTCTAACGAAAAATATTGGTTGAATTTTTCCAAAAACTTGATTGGTAAAAGCATCAAATACAGGCATATCTGGCAGTATAATCTTAAATTAAAAATTTCCACGTTCGGAAAGAAACTATAATAAATACATATAATTTGAATTTTATTGCTTTTTTGTCTAGTAAATGTAGAATATTAATTAAAGAATAAAATGAGATATGGGAAATTAATTTTAAGATATTATACTTGTTATATTATAATAATAAAGGGCAGAGATCTATTTAAATTAATACATAGTACTTAGAGAGAATCCACCGGAAATTAAAAAAGCTCTTCTTGGTGGTGAGATATTTTTTTAGTCTAAATAAATTTTATTGAAAATCTTCCTCATTGTTTGTTATAATTCTGGCATTAATTGTAGCATTTATTAAAATAGCATCTTCATCTGGAAGAATAAATTCGTTGCTTAATCCTTTATCAGAATCTGTGAAAAATAATTTTTTTAATGTTTTATATGATTGGAATTTCAAAAAAGAGACCGAGAACCAAAAATATAGTAAAAACGGGGAAATTAACTGAAGAAATATTGAGTGGTCCGAATTAAAGCGAATATTTTGTGTTTATTTCCCTAAAACTAGACGCAATTTAACATAAAATCCCCTTCTACGAAGACGTAATTCTCCATGTCACCTACTACTACTAATGTAAATAAGTTAATTTTGGCACAAGGAAACGAGATATCCATCAAAAATATAAATTGTCAACCGACTCCTAACCCTCCGTTCATTTCCATTTCCCTAAATATTTTCTTATAAACTAACCATCTTCTTCATGTTCAAAATATTCTTCATCTTCATCATTATCCTCATCTTCAAAATATTTACTAAAATCGTCAAGGGATTTACAATGTTGTGAAGGAATTCTTGATATTTGTGCAGCCAAATCAGTAAAAGATCCTTTTCTAAAAGTATTTGGTGAATATCTCATTACAGAAAACTTTCCATGATTAATTAATGTTTTTAAATGATTATTCTTTGTTATTAATTCTGGTAATGTTTCACAACCATATTGATAACCAGCATTCTTTTTTAAATTTTAAATAATAAAATTTTAAAAAGAAAAGAAAACCTGTATAATATTAAATTTTGGAAAATCAAGTGTTTTAAATCTATCAATTGGTGGTCTAAGATACGTACAATAAGGAGCTTTTTTAACTAATTCTAATTGACGAACACTTGACACAAAAGAAAGACGATCCTAAAATAAACAAATTTACACTAAAAATATAATTACTGGCATAACCTAAAAGATTTGGTTATTTTAAAATATTACATAATTAACCCGCAAAAAATATCTTAATTGTAAGAATATTACATTCTAAATTAGTATACATAAAACCCAAAATTATTATGATGTAATTTTGAACGGAATTGCGGATTACATGCCTAGGAGTGGGGGCGGGATATGAATAAATTAAAATACACTAAAATCCCTTAACAGGAAAAATTTTAAGAAAAACCTGAATTTCTTGTGCAGTCAAAATCCTCATAGCATCTTTTTGCCAATTCAACAAAGAATGAAATTGAGCATAAAATCCATTTAAATAATCCCCATAATTATGAAAATCTTTTTCATCAGCAGAACTAACATCTATAGCAATTACTGTTCTAGCCCCCATTGTACGCATTACATCTGCAGGTAAATTATTTACATAACCACCATCCAATAAATAATGGCCTTTTTAAAAAAAAAACAAACAAATTTTAATTTAAATTTAAAAAAATAACCATCTTCATCATCACAAATTGGCGGCAAATAAACAGCTAAAGTCATTGAAGCTCGAACATAACGCCATAATTGTCCTAAAATGTTGATTAAGAAGGAAAATTTTTAAAAATTAATTTTTTAAAGAAGATAAGCTTTATCAAAAATATCATATGGAAGAGAATGAAAGGGAACAGCAAGCTAATAATAATAATTTTCATTTTAAAGAATTTTATAAGAAAGATTTAGCAACTTTGAGGGAACCCAAAGAAATATAAAGGAGAAAAATAATTATTAAATATACCCTTCTATAAATGACTCGATTTTCTCGAAAATAAATTATTTAAAAGAACATGGAATCTCAATTTTAATTAAAAAAAATAGAAAAAACTAACCATTTCTATGCACTCTCATTTCAGAATTTCTAAAAAGAAATTAAATTAAAAAAAAATTATTTAAAAATATTTACGAAATATCTGTAGTAACACAAAAATAAGGTAACCACAAATCTTCAATACTTTTAAATCCAAAAACATTTTTTAAAAGTTTATTAAAATTATATCCAGTTAAACGAGCAGAAAAAGCCCAAGTTATATCTAATAATAAATTCCAGAATGAAGACATTCCCTTTAAAAAATTAATTTTAAATAAATAATTTAATTAAAAAAGAAAAATACCAAAAACCATTTAGAAACTTTCTCTTCCAAATTTTCCATATTATTTGGATTTGTAGCCAAAATACCACTAATTAATGACCCAATAGAAGTTCCTCCAACAATATCAACAGGAATTCCTTTTTCATGTAAAGCTTTAATTAATCCAACATGTGCGGCACCTCTTAAAAATAAATAAAATTTTTATAGATTTTTTTGTGTTCCTAAAAGTAGTGGGAAAACATTTAAATTTCAAGTAACTATTAGTTAAAGGTTCTATTCCTATGTGGAAATATTTTTTAAATTAAAGATAAATAAACCAAAAAATAGTTTAGGAAACAAGAAAAAATATTTTGTTAATGTAAAATTCAAAAAACCTTGCCCCTCCTCCACCCAAAACCAATCCAACAGCATTTGAAGAAAGTAAACGTCCTAGACGGGCAAAATCACTGTGAACATCTATAGTAAATGGGAATACATGGTGTTCATAAAAATTTAGAATTTCATTCTCATTTTTCTTTGAAAAATAAAAATTAATTAATTTATTTATTTATTTTTAATCTAAACCTCTACTTTACTTTCCCAACTAAACATTCTGTCTGGTGCATGAATATGATGATGAGCAGAAAACCAACTTCCTTTTAGCCATTCATAAGTACCTTAAAATTGTAAAATAAACAGATACTAGGCATTAGAGAGGATAACCAGAACGATTCCTCATTCCAATCCCAAATTGTAGGATAAAAAAATAGTGCAAGCTTTTTAAAAAAATTTCAAGAGGAGCTGGAAAATGGTCAGAAAATAATTCTTTATAGTAAAGTCTTTTCGGGAGTATGCCAAAAATCATTTTAAAAACGAAAGTCGAAAAGTGAAACACCAAAAAGATCAAAATCGGCTAAAGCGGCAAACACGTCCCGTTTGCCTCATTTTTATGTTAGAAATATATTAAAGAACAAAAATACCTTTAGGTACAGCATCAGCTCCGCGCCATAACAAAACCAATTCTTTTCTAGATCTAATTCCATCTTGATTCATTTTTAAATGTTCATCAATCTAATTTTAATTTAAATTATTTTTTTAATTAAAAATAAAATAAACAAAATGTTTTTCTGGGGGTTTTTGATCACCACAAGCAACAACAATAATTGCATCTGCTTGACTTAAACAACGTCTAGTCCAGTTTGTTGCTGTATAATCACATTCATAAATAACTAATTGATAAGTATCTTCTTGGGAATTTAGCCAATGCATAAGACGAAAATCTGCTTTCCTTCAAGAAAAATTCTCCTCAAAAAATTTTTTTAGACAAAAAACCTTTGCATTACAGCTTCAACCCCCAAACGTTCAACAACAAATTTACTACTTAAACGAATTATTTTTGTTGTAACACTCAGTGCATGATATAATTCACAAGTAAAAGCTACTAAAGGAACGTCAAAAGTTGCTGGGAAAATAGCAATTGTGTGGAGATTCTAAAAGGAAATTTTTTTAAATAAATTCAAAGAAAAATTACCCGTTGAGTCATTGGATCAGGAATTGCTAAAGGAGACGAAGAAGAAACCCGACCAGAATAATAACGTCCCAAAAGACGAACAAGTCTGAAGCCAACTTGAGGAAATTGCATTTTAACAAAATTGAGCAGGCCCTCAGGAATTTTTGAAAGTTGGGAATAACGAACAGCGAGGACTTGAAAAATAAGTTTAAAAATTAAATTTTAATAAAAACCTGTAGTAGTTCTTGGGTTTTGTTGAAGCACTTCAACAATTCCTAAAACATCACCTCTCCCAAATTCTTCAATCACAATTTTTTCTGAAACTGAACGTAAACGACCACTTAACGCAACAAAAACTGAATCAGAAAAATCATTTTTTCTAAAAATACAAAAAATGTAAATTAAAATAATTTTAAAAAACCTATAAAGTGCCTCGCCAGAATCAAGCAAAACCCAACCTAAAGCAAAATCAATAGCTCTAACAAAGGAAGAAAGTCTTTGCAGTACTGAATAAGCAATTGGGAAGACAAGAGAAGGTTTTTTCTCAATAAGTAAATCAGCATCTTTTTTGTCAATTAATGCAACAATACTTGGACATGCTGCTCGAAGTGTACAGAATGAAGGCTCGTCGGTAAGAAACTGAAATCTTACATTATTAAATGAAATAATGAAAGAAGAACAAATAGTTTACCCCCTATGTGAGTCCGAAGAGATTTAAAATATATATTACCCAGATCAACATTTTTAATAAATTAAAAGAAAACCTGTAATCCTCCAACCAATTCTCGTGTATTTACATAAGCACACCAAGAATCTTTATCTTCATATCCAAAAGTCGACATATCCGAATAAG